GCTCATTCAGAATCCAATTTCACCTTCCAGACTACAGGACATGTGCAGAAGCAGCATTTTAGTATCATCCACAACACCCAAAACAAAGGCTGACAGCATTCTGTACAAATTCCTCCTTCCATCCTAAAGAAAAAAATCCTGCCCGTTTCCCTCCCCCATCCAAAAGAGTCACTACCAGCAGAGACTCAAGCATGGAAAGTATCAGTCCAAGATGTAAATTTCATAAATTTATAAGCATGTGAAAATGGAATATAATGGAAGGTTTATTTGGGCACTATGCTAATAATATATAATTAAAAAAATAAGGCCTTCTACAAGAAAACTGCATGGGGTTTATCTTCCTTTAAAGAAAGGCAAATGTGGGGGCCCTAAACAGGTTAGCCATGTCCCTTAAGATAATAAGGATTGGCATGTTTGTGAGAAAGCAAAGAATTTCTCTAGCATTATCAGATACAAATAGTGGAACATACAAGCTAGAACTGCCCAAGGTCAGTTTTAAGTTACACAACTTCATTTTGGCATTTGTTTTTTTTTTCCAAGCAATCTTGTGAAAAATGCATGTTGGAGCCCTGCCCTTTTGGCTTGGGCCCTCATTCCCTTCTCTGGAAGGCACACCTCCCTTCACATAAAAGTGTAACGTGACCCAAATAGCACGGTGTTATAATCTAAAAAAAAATAAGAAAGGAAGATAGCAAGTTCACACAATTTAAATGAGATCATCACATCACACGCCTTTTGTTTAAACAAAAATCCAAGTTGTTGGCTGCATAAGTGATGGGCAAAAAATAAACTAACAAAAAAAAAACAAAAAACTGGGACTTGCATCTAGAGTGGACTAGTAGCTACAGACAGATTCTCTATCTCAGACATGCAACTCCTTTGGGGCCAGCAACTGGTATTTCCATGCACTAATATAAATGTATTAAACACTTAAATATCCACACTTTAGCTTTCGGATGCCAAAAGCTTTAATGATAAATTCTTACAACTTACTGAAAATAAAGGCATGCCTTCTCCATACATCAGCAATTTTCCCTAAATCTCCAAATGGCTTGAATCTGCAGATTAATAAGTGTTTCCATTACAGAAGTGTCCCTTTGGCGGGACAGCGTTTTCCCTCGTCTCTTTATATAGTAGCAGACAAAAACAAAAAAACAAAAAATAAATATAAACCCATACACACTTTGCCAGGATGTTGTTAGTGGCTTTTTCCAAACACAATAGAATAAAAATTCTGAAATGAAATATTCACAGAGGAACAGGGAAAGTGTGAAACTAAATATAAGTTATATTTAATCTGATTCAGTCAATACTGGACACAGAGAATTCTGCTAGCTAACAATACTCCCATAACCTTAAATAACAAGACACTTTATATTTACCTTGCCAATTTACAGTACATATAAAATGAAGTAGTCAGGTAATCCGATAGCCCTAATAGCAACATTAAATGCTATCTCATCCATGGAATTTTGACCCATATCCAAGACACAGGGAAAGAAGTTACCTTAAGTGGTAAATTGCCTCTAAGTTTCTATCTCTACATTTAAACATTAATTTGTAATGCAAGAAAAACATAAGCAGCTGCTTTTGATGACTTTCTCCCCCCACATGGACCTATTAGATTGAGAGAGAGACTTGCTGCAAAATATCAGTCCCATCAGGTGTGTTGGGTTTTTTTGTTTTTGTTTTTTAAGGCAAGTTAAAACCTGTAACTTTCTACTAGAGAACCATTTCAGTAATGAACTGATTTTACATTGTTTTCTTATCTACTTGGCTTACATAGTTGTCCAGAATGCCCAAGAATTTTAAAGCCATTAAGACTTAGGCTAGTGACCGGTACTGGTCTGCAGCTTTTCTGAAAGCCTTTCAAGTCTGAACATGTATAAAAAAAATGACTTAAATCAAAGGGCATCACTGAGCAACATTAAGTATTAAAGTCACATAGTCCTACATGCATAAAGTCACATGGTCCTAGCACACTCTGCCTAGCAAATATAAGAACATTTCCTTTATGAAAATGAGAAGAGTTTTCCCTCCCAATTATTCCCATGTAGAATTCTAGTGATTCAACAATAGTCAGAGCCTGAAGACTTGATTTTAGGCTGTGTCATGGTATGAAGATATTGGGAGAAAGCAAGGTATGGGAGTAAGACAGGACTCCTGTATCCTGTTTGCCACTCTGCATTAAGTCAAGTCACCACTTCGTGACTCAGCATACCCTTAAGTAGAATGGTTACAACAAAGAAAACAGGCTTGAAAAATGATGTAGGTAATAAGGTTTTGCTGTCCAGTTTGGCAGCATGAATGAATGCAGAATAACGTTCACAACACCAAACAGCTGACGGACGTTTTCAACCATCATTTTAAATGTTATGCCCCATCTACGCTACCTGACACTCACTAGAAAAGCTTAGTACCCTGACACAGCTTAAAAAATCAGTTTCAAGAACTGATCTTAATGTGGCTCAAGTCTTAGTTTGAATACCCTATCTGTAATAAGATACTGATCAGTTAGCACAGACTCAACATAGTTCAACCTATGTTCACGCTCCTTGAACATCTCAAAGTCAGAGAAAAGCAGCACACTCGCATACATGGAAGTAGAGGGTAGGAATGGGAAAAGATTGCCTCCATGTAAGCTACAGAAAGACTTACAACTAATGGACATTGTGGACAAGACTAACATCACTAAAGTGCCTTAATTACATATGGTTATTAAAAAAAAATCTAAGCAGAACAGAGACAACGAAGTATATAAAGGAGACATATGAAAAGGCAATAGAAAATAGGGTTATGAGATTTATTTTTTTTAAAATCCCTATATTTAAAATTACAATAAACCGTAAGGAGAGCACTTTTGGAAACTGAAGTGGACCACATTACAACTAAAAGCCTCATCAGCATTTAGTCTAAGACTGTGATTAAATTAAAAAGTGTACACTCTAAGGAGTAAAGATAAAAATATCCATCACACTTTTACGTTAAATTGGTAGTAAGGCAAAACTACATCAGTGAAATGGTATTCTGAGAAAGTAGATTGGGAAGTTTTTATAACAGAGCAGGAGTACCATATGTTACACCTATATTATGTAATTAAGCTACTGCTCCTTTACAGATAGCTTCTATTCTGAGAAAGGAACAAGTGAAAGCCAGGTAACCCCATGGAGAGACTCAATCTCTCTGCTGGGGTCACACAGCTAAAAAGGATTACCAGGTCAAAATTTTAGCAGATTTAAAGAGGTATTATTTTGAAAAATCCTAAGGGAACAAATGAACTCTTAGGCAGCATTACAATTACAAAGGGAAAAGTCATTAGAACAGTTCCTCCATGTGTTAAGTGCTCAAAAGTTTGTGTGTAAAGTAGCAATTTTGGCGTGTGTGGGTTTTTTTTAAACTTAGAAAGCAAAAGCACAGGACGCTCAATGTGGGGGAAAACTTTCAGAGTGCTAGACTGGTTAAGGGTTAAGATGAGAGAAACAAAAATATCTTTAAAAGTTCGTACCTAGAAGACACTGGACAATTTTAGGAAGCACAATGTTCCTTAGACCATACCTTCTTCCTTCTATTACTTAATACCAAGTCAGGATCTCACTGAATAAGAAACAGATCACTAATGATCTCTCATAAACCTGTGCCTGCTTTACTAGATGGATTTATGTTACAACAAGATTGCCTGCTGCTATGAGAGGTTTATTATTTAATAGATTTTGGTTAAGAAAGGTTTTAAGCAAGTCCTTTCCTCCCCCCAGTTTTCTCTTCCAATCACATTCAACGTTTACCAGATTCCGTGAAAAGTCAGTTAAGAAAGAGCAACGCACATAGATAAACATCTACCGCCATTTCATACAATAGGAAAAAAATCACATTCTGTACAACAAACAGCTATATGGAATATCAGGCAGCTGCACAAAGTACCCAATTAGAAAACTGAAGCGAGAAAAGTTCTCGATGGTCTTTATGTTTGTATTCTTTCATGGCTCCACAATTGGTATTGTGTAGTCAAAGAGAAAAGATAAGGTATTTACAGGCCGTGATTAAAACCTGAAGTCTAATTGCTCTATCCAAGACACACATTCTCTCCTTTGTTTCCTAGCAGGATGTAGCTCTCTCTCTAAACAAATAGGCCTGAGCAATAATCACTAGTTTCCCAAAAAACTATACGAGCTTACAGAACAAAACAACTATTTTGTTCTATATAAATTCTTATATTTTCACTCTTGTATCTTCTAATTTTTAGTTAGATCAAAAGTTTGGAAAACATTAACCTCTCACTATCTACATATAAACAAAGAATTCTTTAAAAATGACATCTCTCCTCTAACATACCAAACGAACAGACTTTTTGCTCTCAAGCTGGAGATTTTTTCTATATCTATTAATTCATGAAACCTCAATGTTTCAATTTACAGACTTAAGTTCAGGGATAAATCCTGCTTATAATTATAGTATTTTAACAGGTACTAGAATGAGCTAAAAATAACTGAATTCATCAAAATATACCAGCATACTTATTTACTGTCCATAGTCCTGTAAACAAAGAATATTTAGAAAAGCCAGCTTTCAGCTGTAATACTCGCAGATTCTGCCAACTTTTAATTACAAAATAACAGCTTGAAAAGTTAAAATACCAGTATCAGAAACTTACCAAGTAGACTGTTAGCAAAAAGGCTGAACTCAGTAATATCCTCCTGATGAATCAATTTTTTATTATTTGTATTACCATAGTGCCTCCCTAGAAGCCCAAGTCATGGACCTGGACTCCACTGTGCTAACATCAACAATGTAACTGACAGAGGAGTTGCTTACCATAATACTCTAAAAAGTACATTTCAGTACTATACCACGTTAAAAAAAACGTAGTGTATTTCAGGACACACAAACATGCCCATAACATTAAAATATCTTTAAAATGTCGTTAACAAGAATTTATTCACACCTGATTTACAGATCTCAGTGTAAGTTTCCTTTACCAAAATAACCTCATTATGTTTACTTACATCTTTGCTGTAAAAGAACTGTACAATATATATATAAAAAGCCATCAGCTTTCATCTTTCCCCAATTTTAATCATCATCTTCCTCTTCATCGCTGATCACATATTTCTTGTGCTTTTTACTTGCTTTGTCATCATCCTCTGCTTTCCTCTTTCCAGAAGGTTCACCTTCCTGAAGGCAAAACATAATATATTTCAAGTTAAAATGAAAAATTCACCAAGTTTATTTCTGTGAAGAAAAACGAAACTGCTTCCAGTTTCAGTCCCCTTTCATAGTACTCAGACTTAAAATTTATTTTTACATGGTCAGTAGTACTGAGAGTACTCCTGACATTACTCCCAACCTCCACCACACTCTCCAATCTTACAGAATCATATCAAAGATGCAATTGCCTTGCAATTGTCCAATTACACATGGACTTCTGGTGTGCTGAATTTCATTTTCCACATTTAAGAATTAAGCACACAAGCTCCAAAGCAGCATCTAGAGTTATAACACTTGGGTGTTTTTAGATGCACATCAAAAAGTTAATATCCTCAGAAAGTACTAATATCACAATGCTTTACCCCTCCTCCCGCCCCCAAAAAGGTCCTATGGCTCCTGTCCCACAGACAGGACACAGTGTAGTAGTAGGAGTTTGTGTTTGTATTTTGTATGATTTAGAATGAAGGATAACAAATAATGCTAAATATTGTTAAAAGGTATACCATACGAATAAGGTGATCGACCATTCAAGTGTGCACAGCCCCGATCATAGAAGTGCCGGGCAATAGGGGGAGGATTAGAGTCGTCACTCCGACCCGTCTGTCGGGGAAAACTATACAGATAAGATATATACAAATTGTCTAGGTATATACACCACTGGTCGTAGAGGTACCGGGCCATAATGGGGAGGGTTAGAGTCCTCGCTCCTACCCGTCTGCTGGGGAGAAAATTGCACAGGTGAATATACCCTCGGTCGTAGAAGGATCGAGCCCAAAAGGTAGGGGGCTTCGTGTTTCCCCCTCTGCTTTGTCAGGCAGAGTTCTTTTTAGTGGGTACAAAACTTTTGTGTTTTGTAAGTCCCAGCACGAGCGTGAGAAAGTATAAGGAACTGAAATCAAATAACCCCTATGAGAGAGATAAGGCCATTTCTTGCAAATCTGTAAAATGACAAACAGGAAAGGTCCACCTTTAAATTAACTAGTTTAGATGATGAACCAAAATTTGATGGAGTATTAGAGGATGCAAGCAAGTTAAATGATTTTTATCTGACAGTAAAACAAGTCTCTTCCTGTTTTACAGAGATGCCACTAATACTGATGGCCCAAAACCAGTATTTAAATACCTGTTTAAAATCATGGAGCTACAGTAGATTCTGGAAAACTTCAGTACAGCTTTTTACAAGAAGGCTCAAATCATTTGAATTCAGGGAATCTGATTTGATCCATGAAGAACTGGAAAAATGTTGGGTTGGGCAAAGGAAGGGAAAGTATAGGAAGCGATTCTGCCCCCAACACAAGGAAGTTGTACCAATTTAACTAAATTGGTTTAGACACAGATGCAGTTAATCAACACAACCTCCTTGTGTGGACAATCAGTTTAAGAGTACCTTATATAATCAATTTAAGCTTAAGTGAGTACGGAATCAAGTTAAGCAAAGCTGATACAAAGCCCTCTGATCAGTCTATAGTGAAAGGAGTAGTGGCTAATCAAAATAATACAAAGATTCACTATCGTGACCATTGATTGTATTATGTGTCTGATGATGCATTGTCTACTTTGCTTTTAACTATCAAGCTAAAATAGTTAACATGTTAAGCATAAAGTTTTTTAAAATAATTTTTAGTGGAGTGGAGTCATAGCACACCAAAATGAGGGCTACTGTGTACTAATTCCTATTTGATTTACATGAACTGTAGATTCTATGTGGGTATTTATTTTACAAATTTAGGATATTATAGTAATGAAATAACTAGCTTTGGATTTAATTAAGTTTTATTTTATATATAAAATAAAACTTAATATGGACAATATAAATCAATAAATATAGTAAGAAAATACAAAAAGCAATCCCATAAATCACAATTACTTTAGCTATTAAATCCAAAGCTAGTTATTTCATTACTATAATATCCTAAATTTATAAATATATATCTCCCACTTTATGTACTTCTACTGTAGATTTAAATGCTTGTTCCTTTGGCACAAGGGTAAACCAATACAAATAAAAATCTAACTTTATAAACAGATTAATTTTCAATCTATCAAGTCTTTGGGTTCAAACACTAAAACACAACACTTCCAGAAATTCTATCAAGCAGTCATCTAAGATGTTCTGTAAACTTACAGCTTAAAACGACACAGTAAAAAACGAAATAATAGAATATATTCCTTTATTTTAAAGCTATAGATTTAAGGATGTCGGAGGAAAGTATATAACCATATGATAAAAGTCTCATTCACATTGTAAAGTCAACCATCTCAAACAACACTGTTTCCACTTCTCCCCTGACATGGCATCTTGCAGTGTGAATAGGATTTAACTACATCCATTAATTTTTCTAAAGCCACCAATTCAGAGACACTCTAGAACAGGGGTGGACAAACTTTTTGGCCCAAGGTCCACATCTGGATATGGAAATTGTATGGTGGGCCATGAATGCTCACTAAATTGGGGGTTGGGTTGCAGGAGGGGCTGAGGGCTCCAGCTGGAGGGGTGGGCTCTGGGGTACAGCCATCAATGTGGAGTTCAGGGTGCAGGAGGGGGCTCTGGGCTGGGGCAGGTTGGGGTGTGTGGGGAGGGTGGGGGCTCTAGCTGGGGGTGCAGGCTCTGGGGTGGGGCTGGGGATGAGAGGTTGGGGGTGCAGGAGGGTGCTCTGTGCTGGGACCAAGGGGTTCAGAGGGTGGGAGTGGGATCAGGGCTGGGGCGCATGAGGGGGGGGTCAGTGGTCCAGGCTCTGGGTGGCGCTTACCTCAAGCAGCTCCCGGAAGCAGTGGCATGTCCCCACTCTGGCTCCTACGCGGAGGTGAGTCCAGCAGGCTCTGCATGCTGCCCCGACCACAGGCGCTGCCCCTGCAGCTCCCACTGGCTGCAGTTCCCAGCCAATGGGAACTGCGGGAGTGGTACTTGGGGCGGGGGCCTCGTGCGGAACCCCCTGGCCGCCCCTACGCATAAGAGCCGGAACGGGGACATGCCTCTGCTTCTGGGAGCCGTGCAGAGCCATGGCATATGTGGAGCAGGGCAAGCCCTGGACCCCGCTTCCCAGCAGGAGCTCAAGGGACAGATTAAAACGTTTGAAGGGCCATAGTTTGCCCACCCCTGCTCTAGAACATGGTTAGGTCCCATCCAATCTATACAGCAATACAGAACTATGCATTAGTAACATTGTTGGACAACAATTTTAACTAAATCTGCAAACATGGCTGATTTTACAGTGTAGATTGAACATAAGTACCATTTTGGTCAAATATATGCTTCAAAATTTATTTCAGAATAAAAACAGGATTTTTAAACTTTAATCAGTACAATATTAGATACAGTAGGAAAAAGGGAAATACCTTTACAAGTCAGAAACTACTACGCAATAGGATGTTCTAAACCATCAGATAGAATTACAAAGAATAAAAAAAATTCTGCATCTGAAATATAGTAAAGCATCATCAAGCTGGATTGTGCCAGCCTCTGAAGCACATTATCACTATCAAATGTGGAAAATGACCTGGAGTGTGGGGTTCTTAGGTCAAAAACTGAATTTATGCGTGCAAAATTAAAACTATTCTTTAATCTCAGAATTGGAGAAAAAAAAAAGAGCATGAATTCTGATTAGTCAAGCAATCACCAGTATTTTTCCCAACTGTTTCCTAGTTTATCCCATAGGCTGTCCTAAAAAATACCTTTTTCGTGTACACTACGACTCAGCTATTTTGTTTTGTCATGCCGCATTTCCATTTTGGTCTGTTTGCTAAGTAACAAAATAATGTCTTGAAAGAGGTTGGATATCCAATTTTCTAGTACCCTAACACAAAGCTGAATGTAAGTTGTGTTTTGACTTTAGGAAAACTGATCAGGTCTAAAATATTTGAAGTTAGACTTCCAGACAGCATCTCATTTCAATTTCCTATGAACATCTTTAACACCACAATTAACAGAAGAGACAGAATAATGGAAGCGCTGCTCAAGAGAATAAGTTTAGTGCACTAGCTTGACAAGTGAGAGTATCTAACCCTGCAATCTTTAGTCAGTCAAATCTCACATTCAACCAAAGAACTTTTGCCTGAATAAGAAATGCAGAAATAAGTCCAACAGTTGTGCAGTTTTTCTGCTGACATTGTTACAACCAGTTAACTTTTCTGAAAGACATTTAGGTAACAGTTTTGAGTATTTTTCCTTGCTCTTATGATGTTCCCTGATTTGTTAACCAGTTTTTAAAAAATGAATTTTCTATCATAGGAGACATTTTACATTGGAGCCTAATTAACTTTGATACAAAGAACAAATAAAATTGTTGATATAACAACTGAATTTCTTGTTTGGAAGAGAAAGCTCCTTTCTTAAATATATATCATCAGGTCTAGGCAGTAATTTTACCCCTCTCCTCCACTATACTTAAGGACCACTGTTATTTTAAAATTAATGTTTAAAAAGTAGTGAAAGCTAACATAGGATTTAAGAATTCTATTAAGACTCATTTCTGCTCAACTTTAACCAACAAGACAAACTAACATATTTATAACCTAGAATCTCAATGGCAGCCCCTATCTGCACTAGGCATCTGAAAAGACATCTATCTAGTACAGGTATTTCGAAAATGCTCACTACACTGTACAACAGAATTTCCCAAAGTTACATCAATGGGAATACAACTTGCCTTTTATCAGTATGCTGCATCACTTGATAATTTGATGTTTTGATGCTGGACAAAGCACTTTAGCATTGAGAACCAGCTCTCAACAACCTTTTTGTTTGTGTGTTTGACTAGACAGCCAGCATCCTTGTGCAAATCACTAAGGTATTACAGTATTTGACAGATGAGTGCCATGCTTTGTGTATGAAGATATATACTGGTAAATACCTCCAAGTCTCTATTTATATACATTCAGAGTGTTGGTTACTATAACTCACCATTGCCACATTATGTTTTTTTTAAGCTTGAGCACCCCTATGTGGCAATGTTATGAACTTCAGCCTTAAAATGAAATTGTTTTAAAATGGAAGATGTAGCTCAAAGCAGCACAGCGGATTAGCTCAGTACTCTTTCACCTCTGACGAACCAGAATCAAAGCCTAATTGAGATCACAAACGAAAATGATTTTGGTGTTCATATATCACAAAAGAAACAATTGCTAACATCTGCTCAAGGGAGAAAAGGGACTGGAATTCCAGTTCAGGTGTAAGGGCGTTAGCATAATTAAATGGGGTTACTTGCACATATGGACATACCCAGACCATGTGTAACTAAGGACAATGCTTTTAGTGCCTCACTTTCCAGAACACTAAATTCACTCAACAAATTCAAAACTAAACACTATTGGAATACTTTTAACACAACAAAGCTTTCAGTGATTTGCTTTCAGTTATTTCACCACACTCCAGTTCCTTTTAATTATTTAATACAAACGTCACTCTGCTAACACTGTAATTGGAATTATCTCAGACACAGCAACACAGAATGGAATCCTAACCAACATCCCAGTTTTAGCCACTGGGTTTGGACAAGATTAGGAAACAAATACACCTGATGAGGGTTTTACTGATCAGGGGTATACATCATGGTACAGCTTATATATGTGCAGTATACACATTGAAATAACTTTTGGAGGAATACAAGTTTGATCTTTCAATGAATTAAAGATTTTCCGTATTATCAGGTCCCGTACATCACACTGCAAGCTATACCGTATAGAAATCAAGAGTCATTTTGAGATATAATTTTGACATTTCAGTGAGATTATGGAATTATAATATTTGTCTCACTTTAATGAGCATAAATCAATATATACCAAAAAAACTACTACTAATTAAAGAAAAGAATATAATGTTTTATATGAGAGTCTAAGACTTTACACTGATATAGTTACTTCAGTAGTCTCTTAATTATTAGAGTAGTACAAAAGGGACAAACAAGGACTGATGAGATGAAATTCAGTTGAAAAATTTGAAACTGAATATCTGAAAAAATTTTGCAATGATAAAATCATCTCCTAAGGGAAACTGTAGAAGCTTCACTGTTTGACTCGTTTAAAATCAGGACTGAACAAAGGCCGGGAAAATATTCTGTAGGCAACAATCCTAAATTGATTAATAGGTCTTTCATTTTTAAACTTCCATAGATTATGCTTCTGTATATACTAACTTTTGATTTAAATTTAATAAAGGACATCAACAGGAAACTAGGAAGGTAAGATTAAGCAAGATGCCATTCAAGTGCAAAAATCATCTTTTTACCTCTAACAAAGTAACTTAAGATTAAGATAGAAGTGCTAGAGATATATATTATCTGACCTACAGATAATATATGTCATATATATCTACTACAGAGTCAAGGCAGCCATCATGTAATTGTCAGTAGAATTTTATCAGCTCTTACTACTGGGCAAGGACATTCTGTGTTTGAATCCTACACCAGCATTTTGACTCCAAATAAATTATGACGTTGCAGTGCAATATTAGATGGAATTTCCATTGTTTAGGAGGTAGAGATGCCATCACAATTTTACGGGGAATTTAAAAAAAAAAAAAAAAAGCGGCGGAAACCTTAATATTGTAGCCAGTATTTTCCTTCATATTATGCCTAGGACAGTACATGAGCTGTAAGTGCCACAGTCCTCCTTTTATCAAAGGATTAATAGTATACTAGTATTTAACTCTTCCCCTTAAAAAGCAATGATCTACGAATAGTGCTGAGTGAAACGGGTTTCCCCTCCCCCCGAACAGAATTGTCATAAGTTTATCAGGGGGAGGGTGGTGCAGACAGTAAGGCCTGGTAGATAGAGCACTGGACTGAGATTCAGGAGCCCTGGGTTCTATTTCCGGCTCACTATGTAACCGGGGCAAATCATGTCAACTGCTCTGTGCCTCAGTTTCTCCATCTGTAAAATGGGAATGATGCTTACCTCCTTTCCAAAAGGCTTTGAGAACTCTGAAAGAAATACCTAGCTTTTATATATGGCTTTATTATTATGGAAAGCATATCAAATTTAACTTTACCTCAATCCCTGGGTCCATAAAACCTTGAAAAAATCTCAATTTACAAGAATTTAGCTGGATAAATATGATGTATCCAGTCATTAAAGCAGAGAGTAGTAGTCATTTTTCACAATAATACTCAAAATTATAAAAACAAATTGTTCATTTTCAGTCAACCAACTTTCACCATAAAATAAAATGCTTCTCTCACCTCATCACTAGTTAGTTTCTTTGCCTTGAGTAGTCTCTGCGTTCTGTCTTCATCTGATCCCTCATCACTGTCCGAAGAATAGATTCTAGCACGTTCCTCTTTAAAAAAAAAAAAAAAAATTAACCCAGGTAAAGACTGGTCTGCAAATGCCAATGCCTGCCAAAGCACCTTGAACTATACCAGGGATCAGCAACATTTGGCACGTGGCCAGTCAGGGAAAACCGCTGGCTGGCCGGGACAGTTTGTTTACCTGCAGCGTCCATAGGTTCGGCCGATCACAGCTCCCACTGGCCGCAGTTCACTGTTCCAAGCCAACGGGGGCTATGGGAAGTGGCAACCAGCACATCCCTCAGACTGCGCTGCTTCCTGCAGCGCCCATCGGCCTGGAGCGGCGAACCGCGGCCAGTGAGAGCTGCTATTGGCCGAACCTGCAGACGCAGCAGGTAAACAAACTGTCCCAGCAAGCCAGCGGTTTTCCCTGACTGGCCACATGCCAAAGGTTGCCAATCCCTGAACTATACCATCACATATACTGTTGCCTGATATTTCTCTCAATAATGTGCCAAGATCTCACCATCTTCATGACAAACTATAAATAAATACACAAAGTATAATTAAACAGATTGAGCCTTCTTTGTAGTTTCCTTGTTCATTATGCACTGCTCTGAGAAATCTGTTATTTCATCAGGTCTAGCCCATGAAATCAGTTAATTTGAATTAGATAGGCTGCACTCATCAGATATTAACAAAAAAAAGTTACATTCAGATTTTATTTGTACCTCTTATACCACCTTTATAGCGGTTTTTAATAGCTGCCAGACTGATTGCCTCTTCTCCTTCATCCTCCTCATCATAACGATCAGGTTCTAAATAATTTGCACTCAGCCCACGCTGATGCTGCTTCTCCCGCATTCTCCGCTGCTGGGATTCCCTGCGAATAGAAGCTCTTAACCTCTCCTCTTCTTTCTGTCCAGGAAAAGCAGCAGCATGTAAGGAACTCTGAGGAATTATACCCAGAGGGCATCTTTCTCCAATGCTTTGCACCTCGTGTAGTCATTTTATACCAGTGCAAAGAAAATGTCAAATTCTACCAAATCCGAATGGTACAGCTTGATGCTCACTTTGCACTGATGTAAATGACTACACACAGTGCAGGACTATGGAGAATCAGGCAAAGTATTTTTTATATTTGATATTTCTCTTGGTTGAAACATTTTTAGCTTTACGTTTCCTTATTTATTTTCTTATTTAATGCAGATCAGAGACAAAGGCTTAATTTCCAAGATTACAAAATCAGGTTTGTGAATGTTATAAGAATTAAAACAGTTTAAAAATAGAGGCAACAATGTGTACTTATGATTAAACTTAAATTCTGTGCAATATCATAATATGCTAGGAGAAAATGTAACAAAGGTAACCATTACTTTTTGTTTCTGGATTGCTGTGTAAGTTTAATTTTTCCTATACAGAACAAATATGATAAACACTGATTTGTTCACCCCACTGTGCCAAGAATGACATTTTCAATTAGCACTACTTTTCCTGTAGCACTGTATTGTTATTTTCAGTTAATACAAAATTTTGAAAAACTAATATTTACATCTGTAGCATCATACTTAAATGAATGTTTGAGTAAATTTGTTCATCTCTAGATTTTTGTTTTCTTACTAAAATTAAGAATTATAACATATTTACAGCTGTAACAAAGGAGTAATACAAATCCCAGAAGCAGAAAGGGGACCATGCTTTGAAGCAAACACTACAATTTTCTGCCCCCAATCCTGAAGGTTTGGAAAAACTCCCCATCTTGTGGGGATAGGGGCCAGCACCTTCCTCAGGGCTCCCTTGTGGCCTGCGGAGCACCTCAGAACCGCAGCTCTGCAGAGTTGTTTCTGCAGGTAATAGTAAATACTCCATTCACCGGGCTTATTTTAGGACAGCAACACCTCGATAGCAATTGTAATCTTTGCTGACACTAGTGACATGTAAACAGTCAGAATGCAAGGACACTTTTAATAAATGTATACTTTGGGGTGAAATCTTTTGCACAGTTGCCTGTGTAATGGTCCTCAAGTGCATGAAAAGTCTAGTAGCAGAACAAAAAAAAGTTACTTTTGTTAAAAGTCAAAAACATTAATTTTCACAGCCTTATAAATAAAGACGTTTGGCTGATTTGCTTCCAAAAACTCCAGAACCATCTCTTAGCCCCTCTGCTTTAAGACTAAGCATGGGAATTTTCAGGCCAAAGGATTATTTGGAATGGTGACAGGGAGAGATTGGAAGGGAAATAAAAGGGGATAGACTAGAATAGGGCTAGTTTCTTTAATTATGAAATTACAATAGGCTCTAGAATGTTATACAGGAGGCACAGCATTTCACGAGGAAGGTAACAAATCAGCGAAGGGCTGAATAGAAGAATTAGTCCCCCTAGCGGGCCAGGCTAGGAATGGCAGACTTGGGCATTAATTCTGCCACAAAACAGAGGCATAAATTACTGTGATTATTATACAACTGGCTGCTATGTTCACACACTTGGCAACCAACTTTACATAATATACATGAAGAAATACCTTCATTTGAGTCTTTGAACATTTATCTGAAAGAGACAAAGTCATCTTCCTGTGGAGGGCACTGTCTTTAGAGTGAGGCCTGTTAGAAAATCGTTCTAGGTTAAACACACTTCTTATAAGGGCACCTCTGCTTCCTAACATTAAGGTCAAGCCATGGAAGTCTGTCTGTTACCAAGAAGGGAAAGCAGCAGGGAAAAATGATAAAGGAGCAAATTCTTCATATGCATGCATATAGGAAGTTCCAATGCAAGTTAATATGTAAAAATTTCCACTGACAAATACACGATAACTTCCATATTAGAGTATAGCAGCACCTAGACACCTCAGTCAGGATTGGGGCCCCATTGTGCTAGGCCCTGTAGAACAATGGAGTGGCAGCTGCCTATCCCATTGATGAATTTGGGATATAATTTTTAATATGCAAATTAAGTGTACACAGTCCACATAAATATGAACTAGAAAGTCTGAGTCATTTAGTGACTGCTGGAAAATACAACACATCACCTTAAAATGAATGTTTATTTCATCTTAAAAATAAAGCCTTTTCAAAATTTTACTTCCAAGGCCTTCATTTATTGTATTCTTAATATTTGTTTTTAATTTTGTTATTTCTGAAATCTCTTGTTAAATGGGTACTTTACACTCTTACAATTTCTCCTCCTAGTTTACAAGGTAACCACTATACCAGGCACCATATCCACAGAGCATAAAAATGGATGCTGATAGAATATATTGTTGTGATTTCTATGTCAGCACCAGAGATTGCATCTTAATTTATTTTACTAAAACCCAATAAATACCCAAGAATATTCAGACATGATATTTGCAATTTGAAATGAACAATGTTAATTCTAAGTTTTGATCTAAAGAGTAATAAAATTCCTTATCATAATTAATACCTTAATCATTTCTGTGCGCTGAGACTCTGGATCACGGCCAGCCATGGGCAAGATACGAATTTTTTGGGTCTTTGAACATCTATCTGCAAGAGACAAAGTCATCTTCCTGTGGGTGGCGCTGTCCGTAGAGTGAGGCCTGTTAGAAAATTGTTATAGGTTAAACACTTCTCACAAGGACACCTCTGCTTTCCAAGAACAATTACAGACATGCCACAAATACAATCAGGAAAATCAAAGACTCATCCATACAAAAGCAAAAAAAAATTAAACAGAAGAGATAATATGTACAGTACACAAGAATTATCTGATAGATCAAAATATTTAGCAAAATCACCCTTCCCCTAAGAAATCCTCCACATCCTCTTACACACCTAAATATTTCTCCTTCCACTTTACATTTATGCTTCTGGTCATAGTCACCATCTTCATAGCAGTGAAGTATGGTATGGAGATTTTTTTCCAAAGAACATCAACATTCCTCCTGATTCGCACCAAAACTTCTCATTTTAAAATTTTAAATTAAATATTAAAATTACAGACAAAAATATAGTCAGCCTAGATAGTGCAATAAATAGCACACTGGCCTTTCAAGCCTGGAGATTTGGTCTCAGACCTAGCTACCTTAATGTGCAGGTCTACTCTGAAAAGTGAATATTGAAAAATGGCAGCTTCTTACTGAACATTTCTGTTCCCTATGTATTCAGTGAAAGTGAAACAGTATTTTATTTATTTATTCCCTATTATGCTATGGGAGAGAAGAGGATGCTGGCCTGTATTCTGGCTCACATATCAATGAAATCCAGATTGCAGGACCAAATTCTGACTTCATTTATGCTTGTAAAAAGGCGAGACAAACATGGCATCCCCAAGATGTCACTTTTTAGAGAAATGTACTTAGGTCTCAAGTGTAGCCAGCATGCTAGTCTTGGTCTTCAGCAACAGTATAAACTCAAACAATTTGGCAGTCTCTGTACAATTGATATTCAGATCCCAAAACGGCCAGCACTGAAGTCAAAAGGAAGCCTATAAAACTCATGACTGAGCCATAGTTAGGTGTATACATCAACACCAGCCTTACTTTTCAAGGGACAGAAAATTCTTTTAAAAATAGTGGGTTTTTTTAAAAAAAACCTCTTCCATACAAGGTGTAATAAAAGAAAAACTAATGATCCATTACTTTACTAATTCATCTCCACCTTTTAAGACCCAAATATTTCATACCAAAACGCTGTACTATGACTTCAAGCTCTGTTAATGAACTGTATGTTTACCTGAAGGTTAATTTAGTCTTGAACACAGCCTGGCCCTGTAGACCAGTTCCTTGTCTGATAAACAGATGGTTGTGATCTCCTTGTAATGGTGCCTTGTACACATCAAAGACTTCATTGCCCAAATGCAGCGACATGCTTGAAAAAAGATTCATATATCAGTTATTTTCGTATTTAGTGACTCATTCTGTTTTTACACCAATATAAACAAAGGAAGCCTTCTCATTCCCTCTTTTTTATGCATAATGTGGATTGAAATATTATTAGCTAAGTAGTACAATATTTGCTCAAAGATCTGAGAAAAATTGTACAAGAACTTCAAATTTCACTCACTCCTCACTTTTATATGCAAGAACATCTGACAACTATGTTTTCCTAGTCTAGAAAAACCTAAGCTAACCTTCCATCTGACCACTTGACTATCCGTGCATTGCTTTCTCGAATCTCATTTCCTTCTTCATCTCGTCGCATTCGCCAACGTATGGTGTTTTCCACCTGTTGGAACAGAAAGCCTGTAAACATGTATATAAAGTAAAATGTGAACTAGCTTAAAGGAATATTGAAAAAAGATATAATTGGGAGGTCAAGAATCAAGTGCCAGTAGTTAGCTGAATCTTCTGCGTGCAGGGTAAAAGAAAAGCTTTTGCAGAACAGTTACACTGCATCTAAAGAAAAAAGTAGATACAACAGAAAACAGCTAAGCAATTTCTATGAGTGCTGAACTTGTTTACTTCTTGGTAGAACAAGAAGCAGGGGATATCTATGAAAAGTGTGACTCAAACCATCACCTCTCAACTCCCCAGGCGTTTTGTTTTATATAGTAGTTTGAAAGAACCTAATAGGAAAGACGTGAGATGCAGAAAGAAAATTACAGCTATACCTTTAGTTTTAACCTGGTTCTACCTTCTTCATCAAGCATCTCCTCATCTTCAAATTCATCCTCATAATACTGAGGATCAAAAGGTCTGTAATAAATTAGATAATGTATTCTTTATTCACCTATCTTCCAAAAAAGCAAACCCATGTTATTCTAGGATTGCTAAAAATAAATTTGTGATTCCATTAAATTATATATTACACACAACTGTAGACATTACTGCCATGGTATACGTACATTTATTTCTGCCACCATGTAATAAACTGGAGAGGTTTTAAACCACAGGAGACCTACCCTAAAGTCTCCCAATAATATCAGCTGCAACCACTTCTAACTTTTTAAATCTCTGAATAGCTTTTTTAAAAAGAAAAAGTCTACCTCAAATGTGGTATCCTCCCCCGAGGTCCCATTGTGGCAAATAAGAGGTTAGGCCTGAGTCTAGGACTAGATATGATCAGCCTGGTCCAGTGAGTTTTAAAGTGTGATAAAGATTTTGTGAATTATTACGGTTAGGATGCAGGAATTCCTGCCAGGACAACATTTGGATGAATCATCTTTCATATGAGCCTAATACACTGGTGGGCAACCTGCGGCACGCGGAGCACATGTGACCTATCAGGATAATCTGATTACAGGTTGCAAGACATTTTGCTGACGTTGACCGTCCACAGGCATGGCCCCTCACAGCTCCCAGTGGCGGCGGTTCGCCATTCCCAGCCAATGGGAGCTGCAGGAAGCGGCGGCCAGCACATCCCTGCGGCTCGCCGCTTCCCACAGCTCCCATTGGCGAGGAACGGCGAACTGCGGCCACTGGGAGCTGCGGGTGGCCATGCTTGCTGACGGTCAATGTCAGCAAAACGTCTCACGGCCCACAATCAGATTACCTGGATGGGCCACAGGTTGCCCTCCACTGTTCTAATAGGTATCAGATTTGACACAGTCCCACACCTAACCCATCTGAGAGAAGGGAGAGGCAGAAACACAAATTTCTTTCTTCCTCCACTACGCCTGACAGCTGGAGGAGTTGCCATTCTCACTTCCTCTCCCAGATGCTGTAAAGGAAAAGAAAGTGGGTCAGAGAGAAGCTGTTAATCTGCTAAATTATTGCTATTTTAGGCCTAGCCTGCACTAAAAATTTAGGTTTGTTTAACTATATTGGTCAGGAGTGTGAAAATTCCACATCACCGAGTAGTGTAGTTAAGCTGACCTAAGTCCCTGTGTCAACAGTACTAGGCCCACAGAAGAATTCTTCTGTCGACCTAGCCACTACTTCTCAGGGAGGTGGATTATGTATGCCAGTGGGGAGAACCCCTCCCATCAGCATAAGGAGTGTCTATATTGAAATGCTACAGCAATGCTGCCGTCCTATTGTAGTGTTTCAAGTGTTAACAAGCCCTTAGTCTCCATTTTTGGGTACTGACCCATTAAAATCTCCAGTATCTGCCCTTGCTGTTGTTTATGGCTGCAAATAATGTTGGGAGGAGAAGCAGCGAAAGCGACCAGAGTTGTCGGCTTCACTTTTCTGCTTTTTGAGAAAGCTGTCAATTGCTGCAAAGCATTGCAGTAGTCTGTCTGTAGACCTTCAAACTCTGTACATCCTGACCCACAAAGGTTCACATTTGGAACATTATCTTTTCAATCATAAAGGCTATTGGCTCATAAATACTTCCTGACAGGCCACAGAACAGAACATTTTGAAAATCATGCAATGGTGCATTGGGATAGAGGTGGTCCAAAAGAAGAGTTCTCTTTAAAAGTGGTCTGCAGCAGGAGAATGGGAGAACCACCAAACTAGAGTATGTCAGGAACAGGCCTAGATTTACAGGGAAATGGACACCTTTTATAAGATCCAATAATATAAGTCCCAAGTCAGTGGTATGTTTAGAAAAAGCAATATTCAAAACATTTTTTGTAACTGGTTGATGTGCAGTTGGAGTCACAGAGTAGTATTATAAGGAGCTAAAGAAATTTATTTTCTTAGAAATTTTGGATAAATATTATGATCTGTGTTATACAGATGGTCAGTCTGGATGATCATAATATAGTTTCTTCTGACTTCAATGAATAAAAAATAGTAATTTAGCAAACAGATGAGGTCAAGCTTATTCTAAAATCCAAAGCAGTGCTTCTATTATTCAAAAGTACATTTTTGTGTCATTTGGCTAAATTAAATGGCTTACAATACACTAGAAGATTAAACCTCAAACTGAATAAATATGAAAACTACATGTTTAGAACTCAACAGATAATCTTAAAAGCTAGTCTTTATAATACTATGAACTCATTAGGCACATGCTACTGTTTCAAGTCACTAGACTTTTAAAACTGATGCGTTGTGAAGATACATACTAAACTAAAAACCTGAAAACCATGCACAGTTCTAGTAAATACATCACAGCTCAAAGCTTCTCTAAACTACTTTTTACATTATGTTCAGTACATCATTTTTGGATTTGCAAAACAAGGTTGCCTATTGAGAAGAGTCATACAGATAAAATTAAATGCCATCAAAACAGATTTCCTTGATTTAGGAAATACGCAGGTCCCCTGAACAAGCTGTTTACTCTGAATTAAATCTCAAAGGAAGATCATTTGGTTTTACAATATATGGTCCATTATTCAGGATGAAAGTATCAAGGTTCACCAAAAATCTAAAGCGGTGTTGAAGAAAGGCAAGATAGCTATAAATTCAGGAGAATAGTGCAATGCAGCCACAGGCAATTAAAGAAAATAGATTAAAAAGGACAGAGCTACTCATTTGAGTTGCAAACCAAGCTTACAAAAAAAAATCACTAGTTCTTTTACTGATTTAGACAAGAGTGAGATGATTAATTTTATAGGTAGACCAGTTAAAAATGGCTAATCTCACAGGGTCAAATTAATACAAAATAAAAAGGAGTTATTTAAAATTACGAAATGCATGTATCTAACAGGTTGAACCTACACATTTAGTTTACAAGAAGACTGTAAAATGAAAAGTGATCTGAATATCTGATCGACTATATCAAAGTATGCACCCCAGTGTTAATTATATTTAATGTTGCCAACAGAAATTTCATTGGACTACTAGACAAAAGCAATACAGGGAAATACTAAGTGTGAGTATAAATAATTAACACCTTTAACAAAGACTCAAATGCAGTATTACCTGGGCTCCACACTGAGGAAGTTGGGCAGCTTCACAAAATACAAGTCATTTCCTAAGTCAGTGTTTACTTTTGGTATCTCTACTTCTATTCGCGTTTCTGGAATAGGTTCTTCTTCCTGCTGCTCTTGATTCAGTCCATTCTCATCCTAATGGATGGAGTAGCAAAACCACATTACATTATGCAGGTGAAAAAAGCCAGACTGTTCAGGTTGTTCCACTGACCACTTAATTTTTGCTCTGAAACATATGGAAAACCTCTCTCTCTGTCCATCCACCCACCCACACGGAATTGATTGTGCAAAGCACACACTACTGAGATAAAATTATCACACACAGTACTCAAGCATTAAAGTGATTTCAGTTATGAATGTTAGCTCAAGATACCAAGAGAGAATGGAAATAAAAAGCATGGGACTGATCCAAATAAATCGGTCTTCTACAAGGAGCTAGGAAATGGTGGTAACTTTGCCTAGACTAAAACTGGCCTTTAGATATAAAGGGCTTTGAATCCATTGCCATCTAATCCCAAAAGTACTTTTCCAACAGGCCTTACTACAAGTATCTAGAACAGTTATAGTACTATATTCTACTTGTTGACATAATCAGAACGTACTCAAAATATATAACCACAGTTACAACAGCAGAAAAACAAGTGACCCTATCGTACATTGCCATGTATAAGAGGTGAAACTGTTAATAGTGATTCTTTCTGCCTGGGCAGTATCATTTATGAGTTCTCATTAAATTATCAGTCTTTCATTAAAGCATGCTAAAACTCAGTCCTCTAGGATTTAAAACTCTATATTAGACTGCTGGGCCAGGTGTAAGAGGCATAGCAGGCAAATTCTTTTGAAGGACTTACAATAGGTTGCCCTGGAGTTGGTGGCTTGTCTTCCCCATCACTCCCTGAAGAAATGTCATCTGCACCTCCAAACAGATCTATCGAATCTCTGTGATCTTCGATAGAAAAATTATTTTATATAGGAAGAAAGAGAAACTGTTATATTCTACCACTAGAAGTCATCTACAAGATCATTAAAAGTGACCTGCAAAGCAGAAAAAAAAATTGATTTCCTATTTTGTGCATTTCTCTAGGAGGTTCAAAGAGGCCTTGAAAAGGTGATTCGTCTCTTCCCTCACAAAAAAGTTTTTTAAACTTAAAAATTCAGGTCACATCTACCTTGGAAAGACTCTATGACAGGAATACTACTGAAACAATGACATCGTAAGGACCAAGAGTGAAAGCTGAGCAATTGAGAGGGACAGATTTTGGATTAGATGATTTAAACTTTGGTTAATCATTGAAGTTAAACTGATGTTAACATATTGGACAAAGGCAGATTCGACACCTCCATCCATTCAAGCAAAGTGTGGTAGGTAATAATATATATTCTCCAAGTCTCCCATAATCAAACAACAGACTCACTAATTTCCAGGATCTTGCAGCAAGAAATTAGGATATAATGATGTCACCAGATTTTTCATTTAAAAAAAATTAGTTCAGTCTGTTGCCAAGGAAAGTGAAAGCGTGATAGCACTGGGAAGAGATGACTTCGAACTGTGCAAGCTTCCCCACACAGCTCTATTGCTGCACCTTAGTTGTTATGCTCTGCAACTCACCAGATAATCCATCACTAGTTTTTTCCTCAGCTAATATTTCCAGTCATACAGAGTTTTAAAGTGGATGTATGCTTAATGCCAGATAAAGTAGAAGGGATTTGAAAAAACAGCCAATTACCTTTTTGTCCTTCTGCATCGCTGTCCATTTCTGAATCTGATGCAATTGGTTTTTTACGTTTCATTCGCAAAATTTCATCTTCACTGTCACTGCCTCTTGCAGACTCTATCAAAGAGAATATATCTCCTCAAATTAAGAATTTCATTCTGCATCTTTTTACATCTCACACTATCCACAGCTTGTATTAATAAGTAAACTAATTCAAACAATGAAAAAATAATTGACGTTTACTGGGTGAATCAAGCTTTATTAAAAAACTATTATTGTTAGAAGTCAACTGGAATTAATAAATAATTTTATAACCAAATCTGAATCATTTCAAGCCAGGACAATAGAAGTGATATTGTTATGGACAAGCCAACAAGAAAACACATGACTTAGGGTCCTCATTGTAATGGTGACAGTTCAGTCTGCTCAACATTAAGATTTGATTTTGTTTATGAAAAGACAGTAGAATCAATCTTTGAGAAAAGGTCACCCAACGGGAGGATTAATTATCTCAACTATGAGATGACTACAAGAACCCTGTGAAGGTCAGGGATGACGATATTTTAATTTGTCTATTTATAGTCAAATCATTAACACTGTATTCAATCCTACCAGATTTATGCTCCTGTTCCTCATCATCATCTGAACGCCTGTGATCTTCATCAGAATGCTGGGCCCTTTCGTCATCATCAGAATTCTGCATCTTCTCCTCATCAGAATGCTGGGCCCTTTCGTCATCATCAGAATTCTGCATCTTCTCCTCATCAGAATGCTGGGCCCTTTCGTCATCATCAGAATTCTGCATCTTCTCCTCATCAGAGATCTGAGGCCTCTCTTCATCATCTGAGTTCTGCATTTTCTCCTCATCGGAGTTTTGTAGTCTTTCCTCATCATCAGAAATCTGAGGCCTTTCATCATCATCAGAGTTCTGAACCTTCTCTTCATCATCAGAGATTTGCGGCCTTTCCTCATCATCAGAATTCTGGAGCTTCTCATCATCATCTGACTGATCACTTTTGTCCTCTTTGCCCCATTTTTCATCCTCCGAATTTGCTTTTTCAGATCCATCTGCATCTGAGCGACGGCTACCTTCATCTGATCCGTGTCCTCTGTCATCATCGTCATCAGCAGCTTCTGAACCACTATGCTGATCTATATCTGACTGGTCATTATCTTCATGCTCAGAATGTCCCGAAGCTTCAGAGTGATTGTACGATCTTTCAGACCGAATGTCACTCCCAGTATGGTGAGATGCTCCCTCATCCTCACTATCATCTCCAAATAATTCTTTATTACTGGGCTTTACTGCCTCTCTGTCATCATCTCTGTCACTCTCACTTCCAGAAACATTACTGCCAGAGCCAGCATTCTCCTGATCAGAGTCAGAGTCAGATCCAGAGTCAGAATCTGGAAAATAAATATTACCCACTTAAAAGTGATTGGGGGAAAGATCGCCAGATGAGGAGATAACAAAAAGATTAGCACTTCTTAAGACAAAGTGGAAAAATATAAGAGGGGACATGAGACACGCACCTAAATAATGAAAGTAAATTGCATGCTCTTATTTACATGATAAGAATAAAAAAACAGCTAATGAAGTTGTGACATTAAAAGGCAATTTTTTTTCTTTTTTCTTTTTTTTTCCTTTTTAAAGGACAGATTACTGGTCTGTGATCCTGTCACAAGGCATCATTGAAACCAGAAGTCTACTAGCAGTCAGAGAAAAACTGTACATTTATATGGGTAATGAGGAGACAAAGATAAATTTGATAGTTTAAAAAACCTTTTTTATTCTAACATTTTACTCTGTTTATAACATCTTGTGAGTTCAAAACTGAAATTGTTTTCAAATCCAATTTGTTTGCCTTTCCCCAACACATGCCCACAGACAAATTAGTTACAGCAGAACTACTCATGAGTGCTGGGTTTGCAGCACTAATTTTTATTCAAGAAAAAAAACAGGGTTTGTTCTGAAGAGTAAATTACATAAAATGACAGGAACTTCGCAAACATAAAAAAGCTCAAATTTTGGACAAGCCAATCTGGACAATATCCATAAAGAAATTATTTCAGCATTTTTCTTTGAATTGTTGATGACAACTGTGACGTATGAATTACGTTAAGGAACCACGGTGATCATCACAAATATATGTAAAAAGAAAAAGTTATAGAAATTATATTAACAGATTATTTTTCTGGATAAAAAGGTACAAGCAGGAAACTCATGGAATACAAACATATCTAAACATAAAAATACTCAAAGAGTAAAAAGGCTAATTATCAAATTTATAATCAGAAACCAATTTTGCAGCAATTTCATGAAAGTCAGTTATGCAAGATCATGCTAAAGGGAAACTAATACACTATGACATGCACATTCACTAAACTCTCAGTCCTAAAACATGTACTTTTTTATTTTAGATGTATTTTAACTGGAACTGATGTACTGAAAAGGAAATGAAATTGAAAACTTGTTTAACATAATAAGAAAAAAAGTTCTAGACTAAACCAGAAAAAAAGACAGTTTTCCAAAAGACAGGTGATGAAAAGTGTATTCTTTCTTTCCTCTCCTTTATTAAATATTAATTTAGCTCTGCACCCAGGAAAAAAATGCTTTGCCAAAAAATCCAAATAACAATATCTCAACCCAAAGAAATTCATAAATAATAGTTTATATAAAGCAAATATTTGCCCCTATTTATACAGTTTATAAAATTAAAAACAGAACAAAGATCTAGTTGCATTAAATTCGTATCTCTTATGCCCAAGCTGGGGCAATCTGTTTGCTTCACTAAAGAGCTGAAGTCCTTTACAATGCAGTACCTATTAAGCAGAAAAAAACGGGGGTAGGGGGATTACTATCAACAGAATCAGTAGAACCACCCGGGTTAAGCAATTTCCCTGTCAGCTCCACAGTCGAATACTGGGGCTAGAGAACTTGGTCACCTCTAACAGCAGCTGTAATAAAACAGGCTACGATACTGGGGTATTGCTAGTAATTAAACCCTTCGGGCCCAGAGCAGGGGCCATGGACACACGCCCCCCTCCCCTGGCTGCAGCACTTGTCAGGGGCATCCCAGGGGTGCAATCACCGCGGGAGGCAGGAAGTCAGCCCCGGTGGGCCAAGTACAAAACCGCAGGGCAAAGCCCACCCACCACAAACACTTCTTACGAAAAGGGGCAAAGCCTTGGTGGAGACTGAAGGGAACCAGCAGCCGGAGAGGATAAAGGGAGGGGAGGGGGGGACCCCGGAGGGGCAGAAGGACGGGCCAGTCGTTCGGGGGAGGGAAGGGGCAGAGAAGGTTAAACACGGGAAGCGCAGCGGGGCGGGCCTCTCTCCCCTCTGCGGACCCTGCGTTGGTACCTTTCTGCTCGGGCTCGGAGTCGACATCGCTCCCGAACAGGTCCTCCATGTCCGCCATGGCGCGGGCTCACCGGCGCCAGGCACGACGCAGCCGCAAAGCGCAGGCCTCGCTCGCCTCCTTTCCGGCGCTGCCGCGCTGCTGGGAACTGGGGAGGGCTGCGGCGCCAGCCAGTGACGCGCGTGCGGAGCGACTGGTTCCGTACGGGGTCAGGGGCGTGGGGCCGCCTGTGCTGACCCGACCCAGGCATGGGGGTGAAGGGGGCGGGGGGAGCCTTAAAGGGGCAGCGTCCCATTAACGGAATTCCCCCACGGCAGGGGCCCACAAGTCTCTCTCGCCCTTTCAGCCTGCACAGGGCCTGGCCACGATCCCCGGCACCAGGACGCACCCGGGACGGGGGACAGTGATTCCACACCCACCCCAGGGCTCTGGGAAGTGGAGTATTTGAGTTGGGCCAGGTGCGATGGCTGCTGGGATGCTGGGGCCGGGTCTGGTACCCACAGGGCCAGCAGGATGCTGGTACATTGGCGAGGGAGCTGAGATGAACCCGAGAACGATTAACGGGTTTGAAAACGTGCCTCAGCCTCAGCGTGCTAAACTCCATAGCTTGAGTCTGACCGAGAGAGGAGCCAGGGGTGACTTGAGCACAGCCTGTCAGTAGCTACAGGGGGAACAAATATTTAATAACGGGCCCTTCGGTCTAGCAGCGAAAGGTGGAACACGAGGCCCTGGTTGGAAGGTGAAGCTAGACAAAGTCTGACTGGAACGAAGGCAGTTACATTTTCAGTGGGGAGTCATTAATCATTGGAACAACTTATGAAGGGTCAAGGTGGAGTCTCCATCACTGGCCATTTTTAAATTGACAGGCTGTTTTTCTAAAATTTATGCTCTAGGAATTATTTTGGGGAAGTTTGTGTTCTACAGGAGGTCAGACTAGATAAGCACAATGCTCCCTTCTAGCGTTGAAATCTATGAGTGAGGGGCTAATAAACCCCACCACCACCACCCCTCCCCACTGGCCCCAGCCCCAGAGAAAAGGGCCAGTGATCCGCCTCACCATAGGAACCCCATGACACAGGGTCCAGTGACCCTCCTGCCGACCCACACAGGACAACTCTTCCCAGCACTATCATCACATCCCCCTAGGTGCTTCACATTGACACAGGATCTGGCATTTACCCATCCTGGGGACCACTGACTCAGGTTTGCCAGCCTACGGACTTGTCCTCACTTGCAATATGGGGGTCAGGGCATCCACCCCAGTGACCACTCATCCCAGGACTCAGGCATCCACTTTTCTTCTTTTCTTTGTATGGCTGATATAAATGTAGAACAACAACTATAGTTTTACATTTAGATAGTTAAGCCAGATAATTGTGTCTGGAGTAGCAGAGTGGATTGCTTTGATGCCTCCTTTGTATTTGTGATTCAGGCATTGAGTTGTTATATGTTCCATGTTCTGTTCTGCCATGGTTTGTGCAGATGCAGTTTAGGGTTACCCATGAGCTCCATGGGAGATCGAAGCCAAGGCTCTTCTGGATTGGGTCTTTCATGGGGTAGTTTATTTGTGACTTCTTGTGAACTCCATTTGGCTTTCCAAGTTTAATCAAGGTTGAAGTTGCATTGTTGTAGGTTAAATGTCTGAATCCAAAAGGGCTTATGTGACTTTAAGTGGTGGTGAGGGATGTTGTTAAGGTCATGGTGGAAGGAAAAATGTTCATTTCCCACAATCCTCTGGAATTCCCCAAGGCGTAGTGTTTTGCAGGAGGGGATCCACACTATGACAGCCGGTGTCTTGGTCCTATACAGTAAGGTTTTGTGCTTTCTTCATATCTCATGTTCTACAATCCATCTCCAGTAAGGAGTTACAAAGTAAAAGTGAGGGAGCACTTGTGGCACCTTAGAGACTAACAAATTTATTTGAGCATAAGCTTTCGTAAGCTACAGCTCACTTCATCGGATGCATTCAGTGGAAAACTGAATGCATCCGATGAAGTGAGCTGTTGCTCACGAAAGCTTATGCTCAAATAAATTTGTTAGTTTCTAAGGTGCCACAAGTACTCCTTTTCTTTTTGCGAATACAGACTAACACGGCTGCTACTCTGAAAGTAAAAGTGGATCACATAAAAGTTTATTTTCAGGCAGTTACCACCCCACAGTCCTACAGTAAACTCTGTCCCATATTTTTCATAACTGTCCTTAACTTACTCTACCAGTGACTTACCTCTGATTTTCTGTCCATTTTCTTATCTTGCTTTGTTACTGAGAATATAATTTTCTGCTGAAATTCCCCCCACGACACTTACTAATCCTTTTATAAATCGCTTGGAACAAGGCTGCTGAGATACTTTTTGTTCTGAAATCTTAGTATGCTTTTCTCAGAAACATTCAACCTTTTGAAAAGGTATAAACAAATTCTGCTTTTCATATATTTTACTCCATTTACCTTTTTTAATTGTAAAAAATATAATTATATTGAATATAGGGAATAGGAGTCATCCAGATGTTTTTTACTTTGATATTAAATTCCTTAAATTTGCACTGCACCCCACATTTTCATTGTACAATATACTGCAGATGCTTTCAGTTTCCGATCCAACAATCCATTAAGATGAGTGGGATTGGTTGACCACTCTCAGAACTGTTTCAGGCAGATAGCCTAGCTATCACATTCAGTGCATGTTTTCCAGCTTTTCTTCACAACCTGAGGGCTAGAAACAAATTTATTTTTTATAATGAAAGTGGAGATTCTCAGTCATAGTTGTGTGGTAAGGGATCAAATTCTAAGTCTGCTGAATCAAATTCTAAAGCCGCTGAATCATGGAATACACAGAACTTCACATATAAGGAACAATTCTGCATCAACAGCAGGATACGTTAGATGACAGAGTAGGTCTCTTCTCTCTCTAATTTTTATTAGCCAATCTGTCCAGGTAGATTGGTGAGCACATCTACCACTAGTGAAGATTATAAAATCATTCTGTAATGTTGCCTGGCCTATACTAAAATTACATAGCAACTTCAATTTTTGGAGTGAATAGTTGTGGGTTAATTCTCTTCTCTGCCACATTTTCATTAATTTGAAAGTAGAATTTGGTTTTGAATATCTTCTGTTAGAAGTAGTACACAACAAAGCAATTTACAAGTGCCTTTCTTTAAGCCCTTAGAGCAGTGAGTAATTAGGCAAATATGGCCATCTTTTTGTGCTTAGCAATAAGGTAGCTCAAATAATGTCAACAAAAACATTCGTAAGAACTGTCCACTGTAGTAAGTGTGCATAGGATTGGACCCCTGGGAGGACTTGTCTCACTGAGCTAAGTTGTGTTTTAATAGGCACAGAAAACATCATAACACCCCCTTCCCAAAGGACACTGCTAAATCAGCATTTTGTTAAGCCATAGTTCTGGCATAAGAATTAAACACAAACTTTTGTGCCAGAGGTAAAAGTGCTCTAACTGAAAGCAGACACTTGACATAAAACACTGCTGGTATTAAAATATATACTGGTCAGCCAGTTTGTGCCATATAGCCAGAGCCTGCAGCACTACGCTACCATGAGAGAGGGAAAGTACTGTGGACTCCAAAATAAGAAAACTCCCTGCAATAATTAATTTCAATACAAGGACCACTTGCAGAATTAAATAATTGGGTTTGAAAAATGCTTAGAATCAAATATGCACTTCTGAACCTAAAGAGGAATGCCCTAAGGTAATGTGAGATTTCTGTTAAGATGTCTAACATTGCTATTTTAGAATTACCTACATGTTGTCCAACACTGATAGGACAGCCTTATAATTCTATCATGCAAACAAGAAAACCCTGTTCTACAACTTCAGAATAAAGCAGGGCCTGTTAGTAACAGCAGAAACAACATATTTGTAATTTAACTATTGGGCCCGTTAAGAAGCAGAAAGTTAACTCTGAATAGCTTTTGGCAGATGACAGATCTGCAGGACGCACTCTGCCTCTGATCTGTATACAATCTTTTCCTACGAGCGCACCCTTCTTCTTTGTGGTAGGCCTTGGGCCTCCGTTCTGCTCAAGAGGAAGTCTGTAACTAGGGCCCTGGTGTCAGCACCTCTGTTTCTCACTGTGACTACTTCCACAAATCCAAATGAGCTTCTGCTCCTGTTGGAAACATACCATCTTGGGAGGTCTGCAACCAGCAGATGATTGGAGTGACACTAGACAGCCTCTTCAAAACAGAGTATTTATTAGACAACAGGAATACTACCATCTTTAGGTGCATTGGGTTAAAGAGGTGAATTAAAGCCTAAACACAGCTCTAACTTGTCAGCTTGTCCTTGCTTAGCTCATCAGATCTCTGCCCTGGCATGCTTACAGCAAGCCTTGCTCTGTGCCTCTCAATTAGTACTAGGCAGCCTCTCTCAACCCTTTTTTTCCCCCCCTAAGCCCTCAGACCCACAATAGTTTATTGCTGCCTTTGATCTCTTTCTTCCCATCACAGCTATATAAATGACTAGTGTTTGAGGGGATGCTCCTCACCATGACATTGTTTTACTTTTCCTGTTTGGTTTAACAATCCCCTTTGATCTAACTCCATAGCAAGTAACGCAGTATAAACACAGAGAGGCATGTACCATCTTCCTACAAATAATATCAGCGTTACTTAGTTCGTCACAGCAGGTCAGAATACTAAACAGCTTTTTGTGTTTTAATCCCCTGACAAAATGATTTTCAAATCTTGACCAAGTCAAATCAGGAGCAATAGTAACTGCAAACAACTATGCTGCAAGTTTCTCCCATAGTCCTCTGGGGTAAGAAAACTCTGGCATCACAGCACAAGCAAGGTTATGAGTTTAAGTACCATTTAAAAACCTGTTATTGGAGACACACCCAAAATGTGCATTAATGGAAGGGACAGAAAAGAGATGTACTGAAGGATTACTTTTTTCCTGGTATCACCCTAACCAATCCACCTTAACAATTCATGCTCTTACACTTGCTGTTAATCATTGCTTTTTGGTATTTCCACTAACTTTCAAAAAATATTAGCATAAAATCTATTGCAGAGCATTGAGCTTTTGTATGTTATGCTTTGGACCAGGAAAAAATGGAAGCTGAAATCGAACATTTTCAATGAGCCCTTGCCACAGGGTGGGATGGCCTGTTCATACATTCAAACATTCCGACCCCAGAAGGAATCACTGTGATGATCTAGTCTGACCTTCTGTATAACACAGGCCGTAGAAGTTCCCCACAATAATCTCTAGATCAGATCTGTTAGAAAAACATCCAATCTTGATTTAAAATTGTCAGATACACTGGTAAATTGTTCTAGGGGTTAATTGCTCTTCCCCCTCCTCCCTTTAAAAATTTGTGCCTTATTTCCACTCTGAATTTATCTAGGTTCAACTTCCAGCACTTGGATCTTGCAGGACCTTTCTCTGCTAAATTGAAGAGCCATTATTAAATATTTCTTCCCCATGTAGTACTTACAGACTGGGCTTAGTCCCCACCTGTAACTGACTGGCTGCCTCCCAGATTAGTGCAATAAAAGGCAAACAAGCAGCTCACTTAAGGATAAGAGCTGCAAAGAGGCTTCTGCAGGAGGTTCTGGGTTAGGAAAAGGAGCTGGAAGAGAGCTTGCCCCAGCAGCTACGTGAAAGAGCTGGCTGGGAACAGGCAGCAGCAGAAGCCCTCTGAGGTAGAGGTCTTAGGAGGAACCAGGCAGCAGGACCTGGTTTTTCTATTTTGATGGATGCTGAACTGTGTGTGTTTGAACACTAAATGCAGCCCTGAGAAAAGGGACTGAAATACTGATACATGTAGGAGCTACTTTGATGTACTGGCCTATAAGCTGACATACCAGCTTAACCAAGAGAGGGGAAACCAGGGCAGAGGCAAGCTCAGATGCTGGGTTGGGGAGAACCAGTTACATCCCTTCACTAGTGTGGCAGAAATAGGCACCATTAGAGCTGGTAAACAATGTAAGTCTAATCATGACACACTCATGTCAAGCAGAAGCTTACATTCTTAAGAGTTCTACCAGAAGGGTGACTTGCTTTTCCCTTTGTCTCCAGGTAAATGGGCAGTTTAAAATGCGCAAATATTATATAAAATCCAAATTTTGCTTCACAATATATAAAAACTTTGCCAGGTGACAATGGGGGAAGTTTTGCTCTCATTTACACCACAGTGAATCAATAGTGACAGAATTTAGCCTGCTAACTACATTTCAGAATACTTTAAATCAGTGTTTCTCATGTGGCCACCAGTGGATTTTTTTGTGGTCATGACAGCCTCCAAAGCATGGGCAGAGATTTGGGGGGGGAGAAGAGAGGGCTCCCTGCAGTGCCCAGCTGTTGCTCCTGAATAGCTGTTTCCAAGGGCAGCATAATGTGCTGCCTTGGGGTTTGTGCTGGTGCTGCCAGCAAGGATTGGTGCCCTGCACCGCGCAGCCATTTGTACAAGGAAAAATCAGAGGCCGGGGAGATGTGGCTTCAAGTTCATGAATTTAAATGATTTACACATCTGTAAAGTGGGGATAACGATCTGTGCCTCCTTCGCTAAGTGCTTTGAGATCTACAGATAAGATGTGCCGTAAGAGCTATTAGAAATTAAACTTTTTAAAATTAGGTATTATCCACTCATGCAGTCTGCCCCATTTTGCTGACTTTGCTTTTTAAAAAGAAATCTCATGTTTAATGCACAACATGGCATTTTTAATATTGTACGGCAAAAGCTTGGAAACAGTTCATTCCCGCCACACATTTTCCTTGGCAAATTGGGTGAGGGGCAAGAAGGGGAAACTAAGTACCTTGTTGCAGAATTTGAGCTTTCATTAAAAAAAAGTTAAATTTCTAACCCTCGTAACAAAGATAATTTTCCAAATGAGATCTGCAGACAGCCCAGTGCCTCTCTATAAGCTTATAGTTTTTTCCAAGCAGAAGAGTTAAATTGATGAGATTCAGGCCATGTCTTCACTACAGAGCTAAATTGGCACTTCTTTAGCAGGTGTGGTGAAGACGTGTTAAATTGATGGGAGAGTGCTCTCCTGTTGATTTCTGTACTCCACCTCTCTGAGAAGAGTAAGGGAAGTCAATGGGAGAGCATATTCATATAACTGAAGTAGCATAACTTAGATCGATTTACCACAGTAATGTAGACCTGGCCTCAGGTTCCCTTCACTGCTACAATTCAGTACCCTCTGGGTACCAGTGAAACTGACATGAAGGAATTGATTTTAATCTGTTTCATTGCTGCTTTGAAATCAGAGCCTGGCAGCAGCACAAAGCAGGAGCTATTCAGGAGGCAGAAGGATCCAAACAATTGAGGCTGGGGAGAGGGGGTGAAAGAGGCCACCTACCTACTTCCATCACCCAGACAATAAAGAGTGGCACTCCTGGACAGGCAGCAGCGAGTGCTTTTCACTTTCAACAGCTGGGATGGTGGCTTTAAATGTATTAAGTAGTTGATGAGAGAGAACTCCCCCTCACAAGCAGGGCCTAGGACAGGCCTGTGGTAGGATTCCAGCAGCTGTTTAAGGATGGAGGTGGGGAGAGAGATTGGGTCACCCGAGTATTTGTTGATAGCAACCTCTTCCTCCCAAATTTTTCTAATCTGTTCCTGGCTAGGTGTTTGGTATACTTCTCAAGGCCTCTGCATGATGAAATGGAAAGTATTAGAAATGTAACTCATGAGAGGTATTACCCACTATTACATATGAGGAGACATTCCAAGACAGTGTGTCCTTTTACTAGGCAAAATTATGTAATATGTCTATTAATATGACTCAAGAGTTCAAAGGAAATTTGGTTGGAAAACAGATGTTTCCAAGTATTAATTTTGGAACTTAAGTAGTTTCTCTCAAGACCATACTTAATGTACTTATTACCCAATTTGCTTTTATGAACTGACCTCAACAAAGACTACTGAAGCGTTCCCATGAGTTCCATACAAGACTACAGGTTTATGGAACAGATTGCTTTTTAATTATTTGGACTTTCATAGATTATATTTTAGTAGATACTCCTGGGTTAGAGTTACCCCTGTTGGTGCAGGACTGTAAATTCTGATTCCATCATGTCCAGGAAGGCAGCTGTCTTGGAGAGGGAGTTTTGCCCTAGCTGGGGATACACAGAAGCCTGCCAGTAGAGATTCCTAGGAGGTGTACTGAAAATACTGCATAGCTTGGGTTCCTAGATCCTGTATCGTCCCAAGCCAAGCTCTATTTGTTGGCTAGCAGAGCCCACAGTTCTAAGATCCCCAAGGCAGAGGGAGAGAGTACAAATAGCTTGTTCCCCAGCAGGGCTGCAGATTTTGTGTTGCTAGGAACCTGCAGTCTACTTTATCCCAGCAGAAGCTAAAACAAATCTAGTCCATAGGCTTAAATAGCTGCGTGCATGAAACTGGGTTGACAACAGTTTGCCACTATTTGTTATTTTCTGCCGTATGCTAACATTTTTCCCATGTGAAAATCAAATTATAGCCAATGACAGGTGCTGACTCCCAGAAGAGCCATTTGGGCCCAAGCATTCCCAACGGCAAAGGTACAAGCAGGAGCCTGAAGTATATGCCAGCTTCACCTTTCTGTTAAATTAGTGCTCTGTTAAAAAACCCAAACAAATAATATTTTGAGGTTTCAGAATTTTTAATGTAATACAGCTTGACAGCATACAGTGCTGATATGCTAAAATACTCAATTCATGTTTCCTCAACGGAAACTTAAACTTAACAGACTCTGTAATTCATAGCTTACATTATTCATACAAAAAGCTGTGGAGATGATGAGGGCATCTCTCTAGAGTATAACTGAAAGTAGATAATTTACAGAATGTTTGGGAAACATATTCAGTCCATGAGTCTGTGTATTAAGAATGAAACCCAAAACTATCAACAAAATGTGTGGTTACTTGATTTTCCAGATTTAGAGCATATTTCAAAAAAAGTGAATTAACCATGAATCAATTAGACTAAAAAAAAAAAGCACATAATCACCACCTCTTTTTTGAAAGCAGCCTGGTTTTTATGGTAATTTATTGCTAAAGTAATACCACCCATAAAATATGAGCTCATCATACCCAAGACCTTACTATATATTTGAAGCCAGTAAATCAAAAAGTCAGCTTTGCTTGCTGAGTTGGATTATGGTATTTGACAGCTCTGGAGACTGGATTCCTTCATTTATCCACACGCAAGGTAAATTACAGGCAGCAATTAAAGCATCTTCATATTGCCCTGCCAAATGTGCCTCAAACCTAACTTGGAGGGACAAGCACCTATGGTTAATTCTCCATGTCCAATCTGTCTGATTTCTCTGCTACGATTGCCACCACGTGTCTAGCCTCAGCCGTTCACAACAGAGCTACTAAATTTATTTCACTGGGGCAATGCTATTAAGGATCTGGCACAAAGATACCCATTACTTTCAACTGTGACCCGACTCCTGACCACTACGTCTTCAACCAACCACTGATTTCCACTTATGCCACTGGTGAGCCAGATATAACTCAAACAAGTAGCGTAGAGAAGAAAAAATGCTTTTCATTACCAATTCTCTCCCCACCTCATCGCCTTTCATTTTCCTCCTCTATCTTCAGTTACAAATATAAAATAACTGGCTAATTTGCCTAGAGGCTGATCAAACAGATATTACAAAAATTAGATTTTATAAATATGCAACCCTTTGACAACAGAAGGAAGAGAAGGTTTTACAGCCTGCTTATTTGATACAAAAATGATTCCTTGGTGTTTTAAACATTAGGCACCGTAAAATAGTTTCAGACAACTTAATACATGTATACCATGTTTTGGCCACACCTGAATAGCACCATCTCTTGAAAAAACACTTAGCTTTTAATATATGTTTGCATGTAAATGTATAAGAACTTAAACTTTGGGATAGCATTCACACAACAAAGTCTGCTTAAATTATGTAAAAAATTTAAATATCGTAAACCAAAGGCAAAAGGAGTCTTTATGACCAACACCATCATATTTCTGTTCATTCAAAAATGTGCAGTGCAGGAAATCTTTGGTTTTTCAATAGAATTCATTCCAACTTCCTTTCATTTTTACACAGTTACATCCATGTCTTTTAGGCCATAAGACACTGATGTTTATTCAGAATTAACCACAACATTTCCAATTTTGAAATGATAGTTCATCTTTCCACCCTTGTAAAAGCCTAATTACTTATATCTTCAATGAAGGTACTATAGTTTAAAAGTCGCTGTGTACTTGCCATAAAATTTTAATTCATTTTCAGATTGAAGTCTGTATTTTTTAAAGACCTAAAACATGATTTGTAGTAGCGCAGAAGCGGGCACAATAATAGGGGATTATTCTAAAGAAAAATTTGTACATTGTAAAACTCTACGTACAGCACGATACAAAAATCTCATTTTTCTCCACACCACCTATATATGGCTTTTACAAAAACTTACGGTATTTATGTTAATTTTATGGATACTGGACAGTTAAGTCAGTTGAATTATATAAGTCACTGTAAATAGACTGTCCAATTCCTTAGAACATGCTTTTACTTCTGTTATGGTCCAATGATCAACACTGTGCAATCAAGTATAGTGCAATTCAAAAATAGCACAATCAAAATAAAACCTAAGTTTCGTAATATTACAAAGGAGTCCACAGCTGTTATGTACGGAAACTGCAGTGACTTTTGTTTGCTAATTTGTTTTCCTAGATAAAGAGCTCTAAATATTTCTCTTTAAAATAAATGGCTTGGAGTAACAGCATGGATCTAATATCCAAAGCAAATTAGATACTACATTTGTTAAGTTTCTGCATAACACGTTGTGATGATGGAACAAGAGGACCCTTCATCAGAGTGGAAGGTAAAGATCCGTCTAGTACAGTGGTCACTATTTCACAGGAAGTATGGTTGACAGCTGTTTTTAGTTTAACAGAATTTCTCAGTTGCAACCCGCCACAGGAGATTACGTATATGATTTCAGAGCTGCACAGGACTGCTTTTCCTAAGCATACTATCAGCATTTCTTAAAGAATGCATGTTCACTACTGCTAGAAAACTCCTATGTCATTTAAGGTATTTAGATATACATTTTTATACAAGAATATAATCTAAAACAATGCTGATGAATGTACTAAGTCAATCTAAAGATGTCCAGTTTAAACATATCAGAACAAAGTACAGTCTTTTAGAATATTCAGAAATGTAAGCTCCTTTGGAGGCTTTTTTGGTTTAGTACAGATGTTGATTTTTCAAGACACCCACCCTCGTCTTTTAATTAGTTCTCCTCCAAATGTATTGGAGAGCAGAAACAACCCTTATTCAATTCACGTTTTCATCAGAAAAGGGATGACTTTCGAGCTTTATCAAAGTATCAATAAAGCATATTATTGAATCAAGACAAAAAGGAACTGCAACTGTGACAGCTGTGAAAGATTTAAGTTCAGTGTATATTAACAAGAAGGCTGAAGTAATAGCTACAAAATAAGAGTCCAATTGTTCTGTGTTAAGAATCCCTTTTCTCTAAAACATTGTTCTCAAAAATATACAAATCCTGCCATTTAAATAACCATCCCCAGCTTTCCTATCAGAAACATACTCCATTGTTTGCCCATTGATCCCTTCATGTATCATTCTTTGAATACAGACAACTACTCCACTGATTACAAAATTTACATTATTTTAGTGGAAAGTATAGCTAAAGTCTTGAATATAAAAAAGTTCTCAAAAAACCGATCTTGCAAAGTCTAGTGCAGTTACTATGTCACAAAATGAAATACGTGATGCATATTACACAGATCTAAACATAACTTTACTAAAAAGGAATGGGGTTTCCAGTCTTTTCCCTTCTACCCAAATAAATGAAGTCTGAGATTGCCAACACCCATGATTAGCAGATGCACCTTGAGGACCTCTGAAATCTTCACACAATGCAATTCTAGCAGCAGCATGGTTTACTGGTAGTCTCCTTCAACCCTTCTCTTGCGAACTGTGTCCATAAGAAAAAAGAAAATACAATAACTTTCTTAGGGATTTCCACAATATCTCAACAGCTTACAGGACAATTAGTAGTCATTAACCTTTTAAACCACAATTCTTTCAGCTATGTAAAATTTCATTCCAAACGGTTAATTAACATTTAGCACTATTTATCATTTCAAATTTGCTTATTAGCAACTCTGAGTACCTTATTTCGATACTCATGAACAATTTAAGATTTACATGGTAAGAATTAGGGTATAATAATGTCATATCACTTGAAATATGGTGAGCAGATTTAACAGTTATTCTTGACTTCATATGTACCATTCTCTAGCACTGTGCTTAATTATAGTTCTAGTTAGGAATATATAAAAGCTTCAGAACACTCAAAGGCTTGGTAAAAAAACTTTACAATATTAACTCATGTTCAGTAATTGGATAATCTTCAGTCCATTATTAGAGTGAATAAATTTTCAGATATCTTTAAACAATAAATTACACAAGGGACGAACAAAAAATTGGTGAATAAAGTTACTAAAACTCACATGCTATTTACAGTTAAAGAATATGCAGTATTGACTGAATGATTGGAGTACGCTTAATGTTTAAAGTAAAACCCTGATGTTCTACATAGTGTATAAGTGAAATAATCAGTTTGTCTTGTATTTTCTCTTTCCCAATTAAATTAACTTCTTTTTTGAGCAGATATAGTGGATTTGAAAGTGGATTAAGAGTTTTAAAAGCCTCAAGTTAGATAGGATGTTTCCACATTTTTTTTTAATTAGAAGGTACTATATATTTGCAGAAAACCACCCAATATTAAGAGTGGTTTAAATACTTAATCACATGATAAATTTATAATTTTTATTAATATATCTGTTACAGTTTTATATAAACCAAGTTGTCTATCTTCAGCTTTGGTTCAAATTAATGAACTGAAAAGTTTTAATGCTATATTGTAAAATCAGAGTGGGATAATTGTTTTTCACTGCTAGAAAAGATACTCCACTAATGCTCAAATATGGAGTTTACAAGTTTTAGTACTTACAGAGACCTACCATCAAAGCCTAAAACGTACTACTCATTTAAAAAGTAACCTACAGATATTTAAACTGTTGCATTCTTAGGCTCTCTCTCGCACACTCATCTCTATTTTTTTTAGTTTTACCGCAAAAGCAGATGAAGTGGTTCATACTACTGGGCCATCTCACTGTAGTCCAATCATGCAGTTAGAAATAAACTGGCACAGGGTCTCAGGCAAACAAGAACAGGGGTGCAGGACAGCATGAGAGAAACATGGGGAGAAAAGATGTAGACAATTTGTCAGAAGAAACGTACAAAGACAGTGATGTGAGACTAAACATTTCAATTTCAGAGCTCAGTACCCAACTGGGTATTCACAATAACCTGTCTCTGTAGCTTCAAGGCTGGAGAGATGAAAAGGCTTTTGCAGAAAATTTTATTCGTATACTCCAGACTAAGAAAGCAAGAAAAAAAAGGCAAGATATCAATAGAAAACATAGAAATAGATTTTCAGCAATTAAATGCTAAAATCAGAACTGGTGAAAAAGAAGAAAGTTCACAACTACCAGAGGAGCACTTGAAATATGATGATACAGAGAAAAGATCAAATCAATTGTTCTCAAATGTAGGCCATTTCAGGAGGTAGCTATGTAATATGTCCAGTGCCTTCCTGCTCCCTTCAAAATTATATCTTTCCTCCTGTTCCTCTCTCCTCAGTCTTTCACAGCTGTTTAACTTCCCCACAAACAGCTTTCCTCAATGGGAGGCCCTGGACATATCACCAGCCTCTCAAACCTCAGGCCTCTGCTCTCAACAGGTCCCCCACTGAGCTTCTTTGGACCCTTGGAAACTATTCTGGCAAGCACCTGCCCTACTTCCTGTCCTGAAGAGATACCCCTCCTGCACCATGGGGTGTGTGGATGTGTAACCAGAAAGAGGAATACCACTTAGTGGGGGGCGGAATAAAAAAAGGTAATTCTATTTAATGAGGGGAATTTAGTTATTGTTATTTAGCTGGAGGCTTTAGTGTAGGTATATATAATGCATTACCTGAGTTCTCACATTATGTTCATAACTAAGCTTCAAGCTTCCTGATTCAGTTAGTTAGCCACATCTGTGGTGATGTGTCCTGGCACCCTGGCAATAGGGATTAAATTTAGTCTCTCCACTGGGGTAATAAACAATAGGTGGGCTGGCCTGGCCTCCCAGTTCACAGTGGCTGCAAGATAGGGGATATGCCCTTTACTTGAATTTAGGCAACTACCCACTATCCCAAATCAATGGGTTTGGATGATCAAGTAACAGGGTTCTTGTTCATTTTTTCAATTATGCCTGTCAGAACAAATCCACCATCAAAAGTACTCTTCATCCTTTTGGAATCCAGGAGCTAACCCCTTCCAGAAGAGACTTTTAAATTTAATTTTTATTTTTTAAAAATTAGTAATTTCAATGTATCCTTTAAAGAAATACTGAATCTTATCCAGGGCAAAGCCAAATGTATATGAAACTGTAAGGCATGTTCTGCTTATGTCCTGTCTGGAATTATTTTTTTTTGAGTTTTAGAAAATACTGAAGAATTCTGGACTCTAGCCTGGAGAGTGTGAAAACTGAAGGGGGAAATTAAGAGAGGAAAAAAGTAGGAGAGTAGGACTCAAAGTAAAGGAGAAAACTGGAGTAGAATTATTTATGTATCGGGACACAATTAAAACACAAAGCAAAAACACTATCTGTGCCATTAGTTCATTCAACAGTCTACCAGAGAGGTCTTACCCAAATCATTATTTTTTGTAATAGCTGCAGCTGCCCTGGTTCGTGGCCCCTGTTGTGTGAAATGGTATCCAAATTTAAGGATATTTGTGTTCTCCTCAAGCATTTTGGCAATTTCCATTTCTACAGGTGTTCCCAACTGCTGCCTCTGTTAACAAACATTACAACTTCAATATATTCATATTCATTTCCTACAAAAACCTAGAATATTTTTAGTATACTTAGGTGACAAGTAGTCCTCTTTACATCTACTGATTTGAAAGACATGACAAGTTCAGATTACTGGTCTCTCTATTTTAAGCACCAATCACCAAGTTAACTTAGCACCAATTTAAAGTGGATACCTATTTGAATTTTAAATCAAATTTATGAAGCGCCCCAGCCTCATACCCCTCAGTTAGTTATGTGCCTTTCTTCTCCTTCCCATTGTTGGCTCCCTCTATATTTTATTGTCTGAGGCCTATCTGTTGGCCCTAATGGTGGCACTCTTGCAAGTTTCCCTATGCTCTTGGGTTTCCTAAAAGGTACTGTGTCCTGGAGCACAGCAAACAGGAAAGCCCCAGAACGTTACCTAGTGTGGAGCATCTAGTAAGATACTAGTAGCTAGAGACATTTCTGGACCTGTTGGACTAACATTGTAAAGGTAAAATGGATCAGAAAAAATTTATTCAAACCAGCGTGAGAGTTCAGTTAAGGTGGTTTATTTAGGCTCACCCATTAAAAGCAAGTTTTCCCCCTCTGCCACCACAGAGTAGTTGTTTAACAAATTCTGTGTAATAACCAGAATCCCTCAGTGTTTAATTAGAGCACTGGCAAGAAAGTATGTCAACAAAATTTTAAGAGGCAAAAAAGACTGACTACTTCCATTAAGATGCAAAAAAGAAGTGGCACATATCAAATTATGTTTTTCTGCTGTAATAACGTGTTTCAATTACAAGACTGCCTAGGAACATGGACAGTTCTAGGCTAAAACTTTTCACATAGAAACTGCAGAATATACTCTACAGTTTAATTCTTTATATTGCTTATTAGTTAAATGAGCTTGTTACTCATTTTAAAGAGCACCAGCAGCATATTAAACTAAATATTTAAGAATATTGTGTTTTTATTCCAAGCAATGGAATCTACAGGGCAGTTAACCTCAATTTTCCATGCTCCTCACTTGAGAATGCCAAGCCAAGCCCAGCAGTTACCCAAAAGGGAAGTCTATTCTTAAACGAATAGAACTATAATTATATAGAAATCATAGAAATGAAGGGCTGGAAGGGACCTCAACAGGCCATCTAGTCCAATGCCCTGCCATACCTACACCATCCCTGACAGGAGCTTCTCTAACTTGTACTTAAAAAACCTAAAATGGTAGGGATTCCAGAACCTCCTTAGGTATCCTGTTTTGGAGAAGTTTAAGAGACCCTAGGGAATTCTCCCTCAGAACAGGAATAAGCCCCATCTCTTGCTCTGATGTTTGAGGCTCTCTCTAGACAAAGGTAAAAAAAAAGTCTGGTTTTAAAACATGTTAGCAAACATTTAAAAACCCTAGGACCAGGGCCAGCTCTAGGACTTTTGCTGCCCCAAGCAAAAACATTTTTGGCTGCCCCCGCTTTTTTTTTTGTGCACCCCCCCCCCCACCCCTGGCTCTGCCCCAACTCCACCCCTTCCCCAAATCCCCGGCACTCCCTCCTCCCACAGGCATGCCGCATTTCCCCCCCTCCCCCACAACCCCCTGCCCTAGCTTACCTCTGCTCCGCCTGCTCCCCTGAACACACCGCCACTCCGCTTCTCTCCCCTCCCTCTCAGGCGAGGGAGAGGCAGCGCGTTCAGGGGACCAGGCGGAGCGGAGGTGAGCGAGGGTGGGAGGGGGAGCGCAGGAAGTAACGGGAGGGGGTTGGGGGGGGAGCGAGGAACCGCTCCCCGACCCCAGCTCGCCTCCCCCTCCCCCAAGTGCGCTGCCACTCGGCTTCTCCCTCCCCAGGCTTGCCACGCGGCAGCCAGCCTGGGAGGGGGGAGAAGCGGAGAGGCGGTGGCGCACTCAAGGGAGCAGGCGGAGGCGAGCTGAGGCACATTTCTAGGGGCAGCATGGCCGGTGCCAGAATGCCGCCCCTAGAAATGTGCCGCACCAAGCACCTGCTTGATTTGCTGGTGCCTTGAGCCGGGCCTGCCTAGGATAGACATGGCATGTTGTGTTTTAACATGTCTTAGCTGGTCAGAGTGAACCACAGATTTCCTCTCCCCTCCCCCCAGCGTTCACCCTGCCCAGCTAACACGTGTTAAAAACAGGCTTTGGCGCATGCTCTCTACATCCCATCCAGTGGGATGGCTCGCTAAAGTATCCTTACCCCCACCACTGGAAGATAGAGAGGGAAGCCATGTGATAGGATAATGCCTGTCCAGCCCAGTCTTCTTCCATTTCATCCTGTGTTTTAAAGGCATCTCTCAGCTATTTTAAGTATTGCTGATTTCCGCCCCCCCACCTTGATCTTTTTATTTTGGGTGGTTGGGGGGAGGGAGGGGAGAGAGGAGATTTCCACCTAGCCAGCTCTGAGCTCCACCAGACAGCTAAGGTTTTAAAAATATTGTACATACATTAATGTATACATACTATTTTTCTCTTCCCCTACCCTTAATCACCATATAAACTACATAGAAATAGAACATTTATTTTTCATGGGTTCATCTCTTCCTGCTCTATTTTAAATCCTAATTCTTCATTTTCAAATATCCCCATTGCTTGCTGGGGAAACTATTTGAATGTTAAGAAATTAATGAATAAGTGATGAAAAAATCAGCCCATCATTTCCCAAGAGGCATTTAGTCCGCCTTCCTCAAGGGATGGAAGTGTCCACTTGAGGAAAGAACAGGAAGAGACTAATGTTTACATTTATTTTGGTACAAAACTGTTTTGTTTTTAATTAAAATACTTTTTGAAAAGGTCACGAATCAGCAGCTGCTTTCTTAAAGGTGGATCAGTCTGTTAGAGTGAGAGCACAAATAATTCAGCTATAATCTTATTATAGCTTCACTTACCTGGTTATCGATTTTGACCTCTGTCAGGGTTTCATTCTCTTTTAGTGCATCAATCAGTGCCATAATGCCAACCCCAGTGACGAAATTTGATTCTATATTTAGACTTTTCAAGTTTTTGTTCACTCTCAGCATATCTGCAAAAGCCTTGAAAAGCAGGAAAAAGTAATGAAAATTAAAAATAGCAAATTGTACTACGTAAATGTAACATATAGAACCAGACGGAACTATACCAATTTACACCATCTGTGGATGTTGCCCAAAATCGGCAACACTTTATAGGTTCTTAATGTAATTTCCCAGCCTTTTATCATTCATCTGAGACTGAGGAGAGAATCTTTAATCAGCCTTTTCGAATGCAAACAAGTTTTCATTTGTATGGTACACAATTAGGAAACAGCCTGCATCTTACACTTGTTGCAAACTAAAAACCTTCACAGAATATAAATTATCTCTAATTAGCACATTGGCCCAAATCCACTTTATAAGCCTTGGCAGAAAACCCTCCACAGCACACAATGAAATACAAGCTGTTCAATAGTAAAGATTAATAACTAACTTCTTGTTTGCCTAGCAGGTGAAATTAGATTTGAGTGATATACAGCCAGGATATTTGACTTTCAAAATACTAATAATCTCTGCCCATTTGATCACATAAAATACAAGAGACCTGCTTTTAGTCACCAATCGCCAATAAAGTACATATAATTACAGCTGGTTGGAAAATGCCATTTTGTCTCTTGCTGGGATATCCCAGAATAGTCAGATGTATATGCAACTTGGAAATACTCCGGTTAAAAAGGAATATGATGTGTGTCTCCCCTCAAGAGAGATGACAGCCAGGGGAGCCTGAAGCCTAGAGTGGGGGCTTTTGCTGGACCAAAGAGGAGGAATACAGGTGTAGTTGCCCTGAACTGTGACACCTTAACACAATGGTTCTTCAAACTGAGTCCTGCATACACCACAGGTTCATGGACTGAAACTGACAACTGAGCAGTGGTGGACTGGTTGTTGGGAAGGGATGAGGTCCACATGAGGCTCTCTCACAAAGTGGTCTAGAATGAAAGAGTTGAAGAACCACTTCCCATTCATCTCGTAGTTTTAGCGCAGTGTTGCTGTAGCCGTGTCAGTCCCAGGATTTCAGAGAGACAAGGTGGGTGAGGCAGTATATTTTACTAGAGAAGCTGGTCCAATAAAATATATTATCTCACCCACCTTGTGTCTCTAGTAGGTGCTGTCAAAGCTTCTTTAACTTCAGGATGTAAGGGGAAAAATTGTTTTCATCCTCTGCATTACCAGGATGTTTAGACAGCTTTCAGTTCAAATCAACCCCACTTCCCAACCCACAACAAGAGCCTACTTACAACAGCAACAGGGTCATTGCTTCGAGTCGCTGCAAGGCTGAAATTCTTCACATGGGTGTTGGTTTCCAAAGCCTTAGCAAATTCTTTCAGTGTTGGAATTGGGATGTTCTTGAATTAAAAATGAAATATACACATTTTGTACATTACATTATAGCCATTACAATGATTTTTTTTTCTACTCAGCTCCTCCCCATTATCTCTTTCTACAGAGAAATATACTGGGCTACCAGTTCTCCCTTACTGGTATCAATAACCAAGTCCCACAGCACAGGCTTGGATGCGGATGAAGGGCAAAATCATATGCTCGACTCTTTGCCTTTTCAAATTACCAATATGCTTTCTTTACTGTACTCAAGCCAGTACCACATTAGAATTAGACTAGAATATCTTGATATGTAAAAGCTACCAGAACAAGAAAAAGTGTACAAATTGAATACTCTACTAAATGTGTGTCTGCATATTAATCAGTATCTCATTAAGTTCTTCATATTCCACAATCTGAGAAACACTAATGAGGAAATGGAATTAATAAATAGAAACTACTTCTGAACACTAAGTAAATCCAATTACTGAAGCGTGGTTATCTCTGTTCTGTTACACTAATTCAGGAAGAACTGCTAATTTAGAGTTAGAAATATGGTTTGGTGTACTAAAACTGAATAGAATGATTTTGGTCTGACACTGCTAAGAAATTTGCAACTCATTTTGTGTACATTTTACAGGTGTGTATAATGCCCAAGGGTTATGCTGGATATACTATACAAAATCCCCCATCCAATTTTCTGCTGTTAGAGGAAGCAATAAGAAACCTGGGTTATTTATTGCTTGCCAAAAATGTTATGATTCTGTTCTGATTTATCCGATTAAAAAAATATTCTATTTTAATTTTTTAAAAGTTTGACCGCCACATTTATGACCAGAAATAACCATAACCACCAGCATCTTTTATATGACAACACAGTAAGATACTATATACAAACACCACTCTGTTTCTCATAACCATACTGATAACACTCCTCCGTGAACAGAAGGAAATAAAAACTTTAGGTCAAAGTTTGATTTGAGATCACATACCCCACACATTTATTGGAAAAATTGATGCATTTACAAATTAGCCTATCAAAGATGAGTTGTGTACTTCTAAAACTAAGACAAAGATTGGATTATTTATTTTCAAATATACGCTCTAGATCAGTGGTCTCCAACCTTTTTAAGCACAAGATCACTTTCTGAATTTAAGATCAACCCAGAATCTACCTTGCGCCTTGCCCGAGGCCCTGCCTGCTCACTCCATTCCCCGCTCCCTCCGCCCCACCCTCACTCACTTTTACCAGGCTAGAGCAGGGGGTTGGGGCCGAAGGGTTCGGAGTGTGGGACGGGGCTCTGGGCTGAGCCTGGGGCAGGGAGTTGGGGTGCAGGAGTGAGGGGTGCAAGCTCTGGGAGGGAGTTTGGGTGAAGGAGGGGGCTCTGGGCTTGGGACAGAGTGTTGGGGTCCAGGCTCTGGGAGAGACTGCTGGGGCAGACGTGCAGGAGTGGGTGCGAGGTGCAGGCTCCGGCCAGGAGGCCCTTACCACAGACAGCTCCCGGTTATGGCACAGCAGGGCTCAGGCAGGCTGCCTGCCTGCCCTGGTCCCATGCTGCTCCCGGAAGCAGCTGGCTGCTGACACATCTCTGCAGTCCCTGGGGGTGTGTGGAGGGCAGTGGGTCTCCATGTACTGACCACACCACCCCTGCAGCTCCCATTGGCCGGTTCCCAGCCAATGGGAGCTGCTGGGATAGTGCTAGGGTTGGGGGCAGCATACAAGGCCCCCCTCACACACATCCCCCCTCCCAGGGGCCACAGAGACGTGCCAGCAGCCAGCTACTTCCAGAAGCAGCGTGGGGCCAGGGCAGGCAGGCAGCCTGCCTGCCTGAGCCCTGCTGCGCAGCTGGACTTTTAGAGGCCAGAAATCACGATCGATTAGCAGAGGCTCCAGGATCGACCGGTTGGTAACCACTGCTCTAGATCAAAAGAAAATTCTGGGGAAGCTCTATGGCTTGTGTCACACAGGAGGTCAGTCAAGATGATCACAATGGCCTTGGAATCTGTGTACCTATAAAAGACACACTGAAAAGTTATTTTTAGGTGAGAAAAACAATGCAGTTATTGTAGCCTCCCAACAATTACCTTTATATTGTTCAGATTAACTTCATCAAGACGAGAGTCATTATCTTTAATCCTTTGCAAACTCTCCTCTACATGTGTGGGATTTGGTGGTTCATCTGAAAATGGTATCATCCTTTCACCTTTTACGGTATCTGAAACATAAGACAAGGAACATGAATCAAAAGAGCCCATCTGTCATAAATATAAAGGGAAGGGTAACCACCTTCCTGTATACAGTGCCATAAAATCCCTTCTGGCCAGAGGCAAAACCCTTTCACCTGTAAAGGGTTAAGAAGCGAAGATAACCTCGCTGGCACCTGACCCAAAATGACCAATGAGGGGACAAGATACTTTCAAATCTGGAGGGTGGTGGGGGGGGAAAGCAAAGGGTTTGTCTGTCTGTGCGATGCTTTTGCCGGGAACAGATCAAGAATGCAGCCTCACAACTCCTGTTAAGTTAGTAAGTAATCTAGCTAGAAATGCGTTAGATTTCCTTTTGTTTACTGGCTGGTAAAATAAGCTGTGCTGGATGGAATGTATATTCCTGTTTTTGTGTCTTTTTGTCACTTAAGGTTTTGCCTAGAGGGATTCTTTATGTTTTGAATCAGATTACCCTGTAAGGTATTTACCATCCTGATTTTACAGAGGTGATTATTTTACCTTTTCTTTAATTAAAATTCTTCTTTTAAGAACCTGCTTGATTGTTCATTGTTCTTAAGATCCAAGGGTTTGGGTCTGTGTTCACCTGTACAAATTGGTGAGGATTTTTATCAAGCCTTCCCCAGGAAAAGGGGTGTAGAGCTTGGGGGGATATTTTGGGGGAAGACGTCTCCAAGTGGGCTCTTTCCCTGTTCTTTGTTTAACACGCTTGGTGATGGCAGCATACGGTTCAAGGACAAGACAAAGTTTGTACCTTGAGAAAGTTTTTAACCTAAGCTGGTAAGAATAAGCTTAGGGGGTCTTTCATGCAGGTCTCCACATCTGTACCCTAGAGTTCAGAGTGGGGAAGGAATCTTGACACCATCTGACGTATTAAGTGTAATAAACGGTACACATTAGTTATTACATCTAGTCATCTGCCAAAAACTTTTATCCTCTGCCCATCCTGCCAAAAACCAAGAAACATCACACCATGCTGTCCTCTTTTGGCCATACTTTCACACAGTAACTTTTTTTTTTTTAAATAAGTCCTTCCGTCACATTCACAACAGATTTTTGAAAAAACAGATGGGAATTGGATTACAAAAGAAAATATTAAAACCCAGACTCAATCACAAATAAAATACATATTCATTCATTCCACTTTTACAAAAAGTGAGTATATTTTATCTCTTTTTATTAATTTCTACCCTTTCCACAGCTCATCTAACAATTTACATTTTATATACAAGCTTACCTTTGACTTGGAAATGAAATGCTTTTTGTGTATCAAGAATATAAGTGTAACGTATTACAGTTTATGCTGCAGTAGCAAAATGACTGGATACTTGGTATTGTACATAGGTTTTTATTTAGATCTTGACTATAAATACTCACCTGTGAAGCTTTCATTGCTGACACCATTACTACTTCCTACTATGTCACAGAACTGAGTGTTTGTTATCAAGTTGTGCATTCCCAGGATAGCTGTAAGAGAAGAATTTTACTGTTCCCTGCTGTTTAAATTCAGAATCTGAAGAATATTTGAGAGATTAATAATTGCATCTGGTTGGAAAATGTCAGCTGTTCAATGAAAAGTGTTTGCCATTTTCTTACTAATTCTAATAATTTAAAGCCATTGACAGCTTTTTTACTTCTATTTGGCCTGCCCCTTTTCAAAACAGCCATCAAAATCCCACCAATAGACATCATACACCACAGCCAAGCGTGCAGTTCAACCCACATATATCATTACATTGTTTGCTGCTTTGTCAGTCTAAAGCTAGTTTTACAAGGCATATAGCACCACGTTCCCACATTTGAGGAAGGGATGTAACACACATTTACACAAAAAAGCTGTCAGTTTGAGGGAAGACCTTGCTTAACCCATTTCTTACTTCTTCAGACCCAAAAAACAATAAAATGGTGAAATATTTTGTATGCGGGGAGATAATTTGTGCAATGCTTTTTCTACAAACCTCCAATGTGTAACATGACATGGTTCAATTTCTAAGACAACTAGATTTCATGCAGCAGTAAAGACTTTCAGGCTTTGCCAGGTTTCAGATGACAAAGATACAGTAATATTTACTACAGAGGATCAGGCTTTTATGAATATGCACAAACACACCCATGCTTCAAAAACTAACCTGCAAGGTCACACAGTTCTGTATCTGTGGCACTTGTCAAAGCTTCCTCCAGTTCTGGATCAAGAGAGACTTTTTCTTCTATGAAAGACTGTACAGGCTTCTGTTTGGGGATAAATATTTTCCCTGTGTGTAGGGGAGAAATAAAGAGTCTGAAATTCCTTTGGATTATATGGTTATTCAGTTTTACTCATCTCACCATATTACACGTATACACACACAAGTTTAGTTCTCCAGCCTGAACTACCTTATAAAAACAAGCATGAACCATCATTAGCTAGAAGACTGAAATCAGCCCACCAAACCCAAGAATGCTAACGGCAAAGGGGCTGATTTGGTCAAGTATGCTGGAATTTAATTTCTGCCTAATTTGTTTTTGGAGAGTTGGAGGGTGCGGTGATGGGAAAACAAACATGAAGATCTGGCATTGTAAGTAATGTGGTATCCCAACCATCAATATTCATCTTTTAAAGCAATATAAATATTTGCTAATATTTTGTTTTCCATTTATATTAAGTTTTCTCTACATTCACCTCTCTAGTAGTGCTTCAGGATTTACAGTGACTGACTGATATCACTAACTGCACCAGGAGAGACCACTACCTGGAAGACTTCTAACTTGGACTCATCAGGTAGGACAGATACCAAACCTTGTCTGAAGTTTCAGATTAAAATGTATTCATTTTATTTTTAGTGATACATATTCTGCTTCTGATTTTGGATACAAGGGCTTTAAAATGAAAAAAAAAAAAAAGCCCCTATCTGAGCAGTCCAAATCAAGGGCAACGTACATGAATAGCATCTGAAGAAAGTGAAAAGGCAAACTATATTTTGTAGATATTTGCATACCCAAGGATGCTCTTTTCTAAACTGAGGTAGGCCCTGTAGCAGAGTCAATGAAAACACACTAGTTAGAATAAGCAACTAATGATTGCGCACTGGTTTCTCAGTTATTGCAGACAGAAGATGGGAGAAGTTATTTTTAGAGGACATGCAGTATAAACAGTACTCTGGGTAGTTCACATAAAATACATAGTGTACATATATTACATCTATTTTATTTATTAATGTACACTAATATGTACATATATATTACATTTATTACACATAAAAATACACACCCAAAAGCAATGAGAGCCTTTGGAACCAGACATTTGAGGCTGCAGAGGCTAAAGCTCTCGTTAATATGCCTAATATGACTCTCCACTATTTAATATAGACATTCATTTAAATTTCCTGGAGTTAAGTGAAAAAGGAAACAAACACACTTGAAAACAGAATAGGGATTTGTTACGTGCCTTCAGTGATGTTTTCCCCCTTCTAACGAACCTAAAATCACTATTAAAAACTAGTACTAGACTAGATATCACTAAAATTTATATAAAACTTTACTTTTAAAACTTAAGAGCATATTTCCTTACTACAGAAACAATTATGGAAAAAACAGAAGGGCAATTAATACTGGTAGAATATGGCAAGTGCTAAGCATCCGTTCCCCTTCTTTCAGCCCAAAGGAGGGTTTCATTGGGTGGGACTGCTTATTTATGGTTAAGGATATGATTTAGTCATGGAGGACATGGATTCTGTGACTTTACCGGACCTCCGTGACTTTAGCAAGCCTCCCCCCCCCCTATTATTTTTAGTAAAAGTCAGGGACAGGGAATAAACAAAAATTCACAGAGCTGTGATCTGTCCCTGACTTTTACTAAAAATAACTGACAAAATCTTAACCTTAGTCATTGCTAACTACAAGGTGGAACAGATTGTTTAGTATAAGTAGTTAACGCATATTTCAAAGGACCATTCAAGGTGAAGTGGCCCATTAACACCTCCAGTCACAGGCAGAAAAGGAAGGGGGCAGGGGAGGAAAAAAGCAGTTTGGAGGAGGAGGGGTTGTTAGGGGCTTACAGATTGTTGTAATACACCATAAACCCGTCAAATCTAGTGCATCTTTCAGTCACTCTTCTTGCAAAGGACATTAGGTCCTTTGCAAGTGCTACAATACTATTCACATTAACATTCAAACTTAGAACTTAGTTAGGACCATTTCAATACTATTAAGTAACCCCACCATAAAATCTCAATTCCACATCAGCAATATGTGCCTAATTCAATATTCTCATCTAAAACATTCTTTCAGATTCCTCAGTCATGCTGGCTAGTCCCAGCTCCACTGTGACAGCCCATCGTGCACCAGGGGCAGGCTAGGTAGGTCACAAGCCAAACATCCAAGATATTTTCCTCATTTTGAATATAAATATTTGTAACTTGCTGTTTGGAATGAGATTAAGTTTAGACTTTTTAAATACCTCAGTGACATGGGATTTTATTGGTGTTTTTTTTTATTTGAATTTTTTGAATTGTGGGATGTTTAAAAAACTTGGGTTTTAAAATTCAGAATCTCATGCATGAAGACAGAATCCACATGCTACAGTGAACACAGGCAGCAATAAAATGCCCACGAATGATTATGGTTGTTTGTTGTGCTCTCTATAATGCACTGATGCACCACCACAGCAACAGATTAAAGAGCCGTCTATTGATTTTTGGTTTTCCTCCACATACATGTAGTTGGTATAACAAGGCACCCTAAGCCACAAACAAACCAGTGCCAGCATCATGAAGCATTTTCATTTCTAAGTATTCCCATTTTGGGGAGTTGTACAATAGGGAACATTAACTCATGGGATGTTCTGTGCACATCTGAAAGGAGACAGCAAACCTATTTTCTTACACTACTGTACTGAATATAGTCATGATATAGTAGTTGGTAATGCACTCCTCCTGGCTCCTTTATAGATGCCATGTGATCCTTGATGCCCACAGAGCAATCAAGAAAAAGTGATGTTACACTCCTGATTCATGCTGAACAGAACCTTGGAATGAATGGGAGATTAGGGGGAATTAAGTGATATCTGATGTTGTAAAAGCGTTGATTTGATTTTTGTCAGCATCACATGCTGAGAACCAAAATGATTGTCTGTTAATACCCTATCTACTAATAAATATTAATATATGGGAAAACGTGTCACTTGCTTGGTCACGTTTTTAAGTAACCATCCAGGGCAGGATATGCAGGATTTTATAGAGTATTTGGTATCTATTTTTGCAGTTATTTTGTATAAATAATTTTAATTAAGATGAGGCACTTGGTAACATTTACAGATTGGTAAATAAGCCTCAGAACATCAGAACCCAAAAGGGAAAAAAAAAACCTGAAAACTGAAAGGAGGTAAAGTTTTGTTTTCTAAATAACTGCAGGCTTGTTAAAGAAGTGAATGCATAAGCATGTCACATTTGATCTGCAGAGTCAGTGGGTTTCCTGTTCATTTCCCCTTCCCCACATATTAAGTGGGCTTTTCCTGTGAACTGAGACTTCCTGCTAAAAACCCACAATCCCCAGGGCACCTCAGGACTTCATGCAATTTTTGAACCGGTTTTATCAGCACAAAAGTCCATATTTATATAGATAAGGTGATAAATAGTTGTATAAGTTTGTTTCAAAGTTTTAATTCTGCATATTCTGAAACTGCCAGTACAGATTGTTCCTCTGACAATCTTCCCATTGGACTCTATCATAAGACTCTGGAAGTCAGCGCTCTCATCTACTTTTTAAGATCAGGAGGCAGGGATTTGAGCTAAATGGAAGAAAAGTGGGCAAAGGTTTGTGAGATGGTACAGCTTTGTGGGGATGAGTGTACATTTCTCTGTCTAGTAAGTTCAGAAAGTGTGCTTTAATAAAGTTATCAAATGAAGGAGTCAAACACTGGCTTCTGCTGGATATATTTTTGTTAGTAGGTCTTTAGAGCAAAGCTAGAAATTGTACTTGTGAAGGAGCTGTGAGAGCACTATAAAAGGGAGGGGAGGGTCCACAGGTGCCCAAACTGTGGCCCCGCCCCTCCCCTGCCCCTGGGCTGCCCTTCCTCCAAGACCCCGCCCCTTCCCCCATCACTCACTCTTACGGTCGGTAAAAAGTAAGGGGGGGGGCCATAGCCTCCTGATCCCCCGTTTCAGCGCCCCTGCACGTGTGTGATCAACCTTCGGTTAGTTTATCATTTAAGTCACAGTTTCTCAAACTTACATAGTTTAGATCACTTCTTAACAGAGCTGGTTTTATGGCACATTCATGAATGCATAACATCCCTGTGGCAACTACAGCAAACGTTGCCATGATAAGTAATGTAAGGAATGGATGTTTAGCTGCCTTTAATGCAGTAAGCATGGTGATTCCCTCCCGACCCCCCAGCTTTGGCTCTTTATTTCATCTCCCCTTCTGCTTCTCATAGCTAGAGGCAGAGGAGGAGGGAGTCCAGCATGGGGCGACCAGCTACCTTTCCACAGATCTCCTGGAAGTGCTTTGTGCACCACAGCCTAGGAACCCGTTTAAGAGGAGGAGGATGTCAGAGAGGAAGGAAGAAGATGGTGGTCTCTCTCACAGGATGAAATTCACTCTAGCAGAGGGCCTGCTGAAGACTCTCTATGCCTCCTGTGTCTCACTTGAGCCCTTTAGGGTAACCTGCAAACTAGGTGTGGGAGGAATAGGAAAGTAGAGACATTTCTGTGAAAAACAAAAACTGTTTTTATAAATTAAAAATGTGCCTGGTTGGTCTGGTAAAAAAAATACAAAAATTGAGAGGTCAGAGAGTGAGGACTACTGCACCCGCCCTTTACTTGCAGCCTCAGGCTTCTTCCTTACTCTTCAGCACTTGCTGAGGCAGCAGCAAACAGTTTTTAAAGCAGTTCTAACATTGTTAGGCCCAGTCCAATCCATCCGGCTTAACTCTGCTAGAAGCAGTTTTGGGTGTAACCCAGGTAGAGGACTTGTGTACATAGAGCCTTTGTGAGAACGTTTCCAACAAACATCATCTCGCCAAGACCAGTCATCATGTCTGTTCACTTGTATATTGCACATGTGAAAGCAGCTTAATTTTTCAGGTAATGAGCAAATACTTCAAGACAATTTAGTGTCTTGTTCAGTTACTTCAAGGATAAGACCTCTGTATCTTAGGAAACAATGATCTAACTAGAGGCTCACTGCCAAGAGAGCTATGGGGATATTTTTCTCTTTATACACGCACACTAACACAAGCACTTTTAAAAAGTCACATCTGCACATCAGCCCATGA